ACCCCGGAAGTGGGCGGGCAGGCGACCCCGCCGAGGCCCCGAGGCCGGCTGAGGACGCAGTAGGCCGCAGCCAATAGCGCGCCTGCGGTCTTTTGCGTCACTGCAAGGCTGACCAATGGGCGCGTGTCTGGCTGCCGCTTCCTGCCCACGGGCTCCTCGGCCTCGGGGGAGGGCCGGGCCGCTCTCCAGCCGCCGAGGAGCAATCGCCGCGACCCCGGCTGCGCGGTGCCCCTCTCCCGCAGGTGAGTGCAGCGGCGGCCGGGAGGTGGGATGGGCGCCTCGGTCTCTCCTGCAGAGGTTGGGGCGGCTGAGGCAGCAGCTGCGTTTGTCACACGCGCGCGGAGTGGGGAAGGGGCTGTGCTGCCGCTCTTTGCTGCACACCGCGGGGCACCGCCCCCGGCCCGCCCCCCCGCAACATGACACCCCAACAAGCCTCTGCCCTGGAGTGACGTGGGAAGTGACTGGCGGGTGTAGAGGATCGAGCTGCTAGGAGCCCGTCTTCCCCTCCTGTGGGCAGTTATGAGAGCAAAGCTGCTTGTCCTGGGATTAGCTCAGGCAGATGGTCAGGGCCCGGCGCTGAGATGCTACTAGTGGCCCGGCAAGGGGCCCACCTGTCGCCCAGCCGCTGGGAACGAGAATGAAATCAAGCTGACCGCCCAGATCCGAGAGCCGGCGGGGGGGAGGGGGGGGGCGCTATTTTCTGAGCTGCCAAATGTGGGAGAGGATGGACCCAGCACCTCAGGAAGGGCTCAACTACCTGGCATGTCCTTCTGTTTTCTCCCACCTCTTTGACCCTGACATCGCCTCCCAGCAGCCCTCACAGTTGTCAGGCAGTGAGCTGCTTTAGTAGCAAGGGGTTTTCTCTGTACAGGGGATGGGTGTGACAGGGTGTGATAAAAAGAAAAAAAAAAAACCCACAGCAGAAAACCTTGCAGGAAGCAGTCCTAAGGCAACTGGGAAGTAAATGCTTCAGGCTCTCCTTTGGGACTCTGTCCCTTCCTCTACCACACTCCAGCCTACTCTCTCCACCCCCAGCTTCCCTTGGGTACCTCCACCTCTCTGAAGGAATCTGTTAATTAACTGCACAGAGAGGCAGATGGTTCTGAGGGTGGCCAGCAAGTCTTCTGAGTAGAATGACTGAGGCACCAACTGGAAATCATCGTGCAGAATTTCTTGGTGAATCGGAGGTCACTTTCTTGGAAGATGTTGCCTCTACCTCTTCACTTCTACAAAATAAAGAAATCCCAGAACCGTGGCACTCAGCGCTTCCACCTCCCATTCAAGAGTCCTCTGACCCAGTGACCCGATGTCCCTAGACATGTTACCCCATCACCTCACAGCCAGAAACTGGCTTATGAGAAATTGAGACCACATCCTGGCCAAGGAGGTGGGATTAACCAAGGATGGCTACCTCCCGTCATCTTTAGCTGGGAAGTGATGGGCACCAGGATTTTCTACTCCAGAGGGAGTTTACAAACATCACCCCCAGGTGAGTCTTCTGTTAGCTGCCCAGAAGGCTCAATTATGTCTGTTTGGAAATGACAGCTTAGTCATTTCTCTGAAGGAAAGCATATCTAAGTTCAACATCATCATTCATTGAGCTCAAGATGCAGACTGAGCTTGACCTCACGGGTTACTTGTACAGTGAGGCAAGAAATGTCTTTGAAGACTGGGTTTACATTAAAATGTCACCATGGGGGACTCCCCTGGTGGCCCAAAGGCTAAGACTCCATGCTCCCACATCCCACATGCTACAACTAAAGATCCCATGTGCTGCAGTTAAGACCCGGCATAGCCTAATAATAAATAAAACATTTTTTTTATTTAAAAAATCACCATGGGAACTGACATACCTCCTTCCCCTATGTAAAACTCTTACTTTTCCCCAACAACTTATGAAGAGGATTATCAAACATAGTCAAATTGAAAGAATTATACAGTAATCACCCACATAACTCACCTTCCACCTAGATTCTACTGTTGACAGCTTAACATACTTGCCTTATTGCATACCTATCCACCTATTAGAGGCTTTGTTGTTGTGTAGTCGCTAAGTCGTGTCTGACTCTGGGAGCCCACCAGGCTCCTCCGTCCATGGGATTTCCCAGACAAGAATACTGGACTGGGTTGCCATTTCCTTCTCAAGGGGATATTCCCAACCCAGGGATCAAACCTATGTCTCCTGCATTAGCAGGCGGATTCTTTACCCCTGAGCCATCAGGGAAGCATGACCTAGGACCTCACTTTTAACCTGAAGTATTTGTGACATTTGGCTTCCCTGGAACCGTATTTCCATCTTAGCTCAGGGAATCAGTGAATGTAGGTGGCAGTGATTTTCTGTAACTTTGAATAAACACTCACTTTGTGCAGAGCACTGGGAGATGCAGAGGAAATGAGGAGGTCAAGGACTCTGACTGACCAGAAAGGGCTTTGATTTTTTTGTTTGTTTTTGAGAGAGAAGATTGGCAGTCTGGGATAGTAAGTGCCAAGAAGTAGAGTGATTTCAGTAGCGCTCGCTGAGCTCCTGCTGGGTGCTGAGCCCGCTGGTCTAAGTCTATGCCTGTGATAGCGCTTTCAGGTCTCACAGCAACTACATAAGTAGGTCAGTCCTCCTTTCTGCCTTTTCCAGAATAGGAGGTTGAGGCACAGAGAGGTTAGTCAGTGGACTTTTGGTCATGCTAGAAAGTAGTGGGGCCAGGACCCAAATTCCCACAGTCTGGGTCCAGTGTGACTCTGGGGCTGTTGAGTGACAGTGTAAATGCTTCAGGGGAAGAGTGGACCCTCAGGCTTGACCAGGGAAGAGCAGAAGGCATCTGGAGGTGCCACAGCTATCCCAGGAGTCCCAGCTCAGGCACCCGGATGAAGTTGCCAGTTTTCAAATGGCTTCAGAAAGCTGGCGTCCTGACTTCCCACATGTTTGACCTGGATGTTGGTGCCCCAGGTGGAAGGATCACACTTCTCCATTCTTCCTGTTGCCACTGCCTGTCCTGGGTGTTTTCCAAAGTTTGGCAGCTGCTCCACTTCCCGACTTCTATCCTTTATGCTTCAGTCACTTCCTTGCCGCCCACACTCTCTTCTCCTCGTCTGTAAGACACACTTTGTTCCAAACGAACCTAATTGCTCGTGTCTTCAGAGGCGCTCCGTCATCCACGTTGCTGTTCCAGCTGCCACGCTTTCCGTGCCCCCGGCGTGTCTCGAGCAGAACAGCCTGGCTCCAGCTGTGAGGCTGTGAGGCTCCGTCTTCTGGTCGCTCCGGTTTCCAAGTCAGACAAGCTGTGTCTTCCTTCTGCGGCACTGCTCAGTCTTGGGTGTGGGGGCTGCTGCATCAGGCACTCACTGTGACCCCCCAGCTGCCCCCACGTGGCCTTGCCAAGGCTCCAGGAGTCACACCGCAGGGAGCAGCAGCCCCGTCAGCCCCACGGTTGAGGCGGGGGAGGCGGTCAGTGGGGACTCTGAAAGCTCAGCTTCTCTGCACACCAGTGCCACACTGGATCTTGGAGACAGACCCTGATGCTGGGAAAGACTGAAGGCAAAAGGAAAAGGGGGTGGCAGAGGATAAGACGGTTGGAGAGGTTCATGTCTAACTCAATGGACATAAACTTGCGCAAACTCCGGGAAGTAGTGGAGGGCAGGATCCTGGCATGCTGCAGCCGAGGGGTCGCACAGAGTCAGACACAGCTTAGCAACTGAACAACGACAAGAGTTTTGGGTGAAGTGAGAAAGCATAGCTTTAATGCTTTGCCAGGCAGAGGTAACCACAGCAGGCTAAATGCCCTCAAATACATGTCCCTACATGGGGAATGTAGTGACAAGTTTTACAGTAATTGTCCAAAGAGGGTGTGGTAAGCTCATGGACATTCTTCTGATGGGTTGGTGGTGAATTCAGCCCCACCACCGTCAACCTTCAGCATTATCAACCTTTGGGTCCAATGGCCTGGGGTCTACATGCTTGTGGGCAGCATACTATGGTTAATCATTAACTTCTCCCACCTGCAGGGGGTTTCAGCGTCTGCATGGTAGCTTAAAGGTCCTGTGGTGTGTGATGGGGAACCAGGACCTTGCCCCAAGGCTGCTCTGGACTCTCTCCCTGGTCTTGTAGTCCCTCCTTCCCTAATTACCAACTGCTTGAATCTGCCCCTTGGAACTCAGGGAAGGTCATGGAGGCTGAATGAAGGCCATCCTCTGTAGTCAAAGAAATGGAGGACACAGAAAGGCCTTGTGCCCAGGAGCCCCACAGGGCTCTGCGCGCATCAGTGGCAGAGCACAGGTGTGAGCGTGCACACCCTCCACAAAGCAGAAGGGAAGAGGAGAGGAGGAGGAACAGAAGTGGAGAATGGCAGGAGGAGGGGTCAGAGGGAGGTGGCCACCTGCGGCTGGTGGAGCCAGGCCCCTCCCATCCCCACCACCCGCTCAGTGGCTTCTGCAGGACCACACAGGACTCTGGCTGGGGAGCCAGGCCTGTGCGAACGCCCTTACCACACCCGGAGGACACGTGAGGGGTCCCTGTGCACCAGAGGGTGGGGCCTCTGGGAAGGCTCTCAAGGACCCATTAGATCTGCAACCTGTCATTTGTTCTTTAGAAAGATCCAAACTATGACCGAATATAATTATCAATAATATTATCAATAATGTTATAATATATAATAATAATATAATAATACTGTTATCAATAATAATGATGAATTATTATTCATTAAATTGGGGACAGTAGGTACTTGGATGGTACATTTTTTTTTCTCTGGACCCTTTTGTATATTTGGAGGAAAAAAAAATCCTTATCGTGAGAGGGAGAAAAGGCAAAGAAGAGAAAGGAACCTGGACTGAAGCTGGGCTCTGCCCCCGCTTTACCGGGGGGTGAGGAGGGTGCTCAGCCCCCTGCAGCGAGAGATCGTCACCTGGGGCTCCCTGCCCGGCCAGGCGGTCCCCGGGGCCGGGTCCTGGAGCGGCCGTGCCCGCTGACCTCGCCCTCCTGCCTCTGTCTCCCCTCAGCCCCCGCAGCCATGCCCAGCTCAGTGCTGTGGGCGGTCGACCTGTTTGGGAGGGTGTTCACGCTGTCCACGGCCGGGCAGCACTGGGAGCCGTGCAGGGACGCCCAGCTGGAGTTCAAGCGGGTCAGCGCGGCCAGGGACTGCTGCTGGGGCATCGCCTGTGACCACCAGGTGTATGTGCTTGTGGGTGCCAGCGACGTCCCCATCCGCTGCCAGGAGGAGGCCTATGAGAATCAGGTGGGTCTGAGGGGTGGCGGGGTGGCCGGGAGACAGCCCCGCACCCGACGCCTGGCCGGTTCCGGCCTGTTTCCTTCACTCTGCTGAGATCAAGCCAGGCCATGGCCGGGTCTGCACAGGGAGGGGTTCCGGGACCTCAGCACGGCTGTGCCCCCCGCCGCCCGGGGTGGCAGGTCCCTGCCCTTCGGGGTGCGGTTCTGGTGGCCCTCTGCTCACGTCCTGTCCTGGAGAGGAGGCGAGGGCCCTGCTGACCCCGGAGAGGCCCTTGCCGCACAGGCCTCAGGCCTGTCTCTGCCTCTGGCCCCCAGCGCTGGAACCCCGTGGGCGGCTTCTGTGAGGTGCTCCTGCCGAGCGACCGCTGGCCGTGCAGTGATGTGAGTGGGCTCCAGCACCGGCCGCTGGATGGGGTGGCGCTGCCCTCGCCGCATTGGGAGTGGGAGTCGGACTGGTACGTGGATGAGAATTTTGGAGGGGAACCCACCGAGAAAGGGGTAGGTGAACTCGGGTCTTGCCAGCGGGGCTCCCCCGTCCTCCCCAGTGCTGTCCCCAGCGCCCAGTGGTGTCAGACCTCAGCCTGGGCCCCGCGCGCTCCCTGCTTGCTGGACGGGGCCCACGGGGTGACGCTTCAGGCCACACGCTGCCTCCCTGGCCCTCTTCTGTCCTGCTCCCCCTTCCCTGCTCTTTTCTGTCCTTCCCTGGGAAACTTCCAGAGGCACCCCCCACCCTCACCTTGATGTTTCAGGGGTGGACGTATGCCATCGACTTCCCTGCCACCTACACGAGGGACAAGAAGTGGAATTCCTGCGTGCGGCGCCGGCGGTGGATCCGGTACAGGAGATACAAGTCTCAGGACACCTGGGCCAAGGTCTGGGGACCCGCGGGACCAGGGGGCAAGTAGACCGCAGGCCTGCGGTGGGGAAGGTCACGTGGACCCGTGTGCCCAGCCCGGAGCCTGGCCTCTGACTCCCTCCGGTGCTGAATGCTGTGACCCTGTGTCCCTTCCTTTGGGAGGTGGCCGCTCTGGGAACCAGGCCAGACTGTGGCCCAGGACAGCACAGCAGGGCGTTGCCCTGGTCTCTGGACTGCCCTGTCCCGGACTGAGACTCGATCTGGGTACATCTTCCTTCCCGCCCCCCTCCACCCCACCCCGTGCGGGAGCCACTCAGGCCCTTATATTTTTCCAGTGACCCAGAAAAACCAACCAAGGGACGTGAGGCCTGGACTGGGGTGCTCGGGGGCCTTGAATGAGAGGAAGGCCTCAGACCCTCGCCCGACCTCTCTGCAGGGCCCTTACCACAAGGTGGGGCCGCCGGCCCAGCCTGCCTGGCCCTGGGGTTGGAGCAGCCAGGCAACAGGGTGATAGCCAGGGTCACAGGAGCCCCCACCCCTCGGCCGTGTTCTGGGGTCAGCCCCTTCTCCGTGGCGGATGGAGTCAGAGCGAAGCGGGGGCCGCCATGAGCCCTCGGAGCCAGCAACCCAGCCTGGGGCCAGTGTGGGGAGGACACGGCAGAGGGGGCCCTCCACCCAATGCTGCCCACCCTGTGGGGTCAGCAGGGCCGGGCTAGAGGACGGAAGGCAGTGTGCTGAGGGCTGGTGGGGCAGCTGGGGTGGGGGCTCGCAGGAGCGGACCAGCGCCGCCCCCAGTCCAGGCACCCACGGGCACTGACGGCTCCTGCCTCCCACATCCTTGTTTCAGATCCCTTCGGAGGATGACCCCCAGCAGCTGCCCGACCCCTTCAGTGACCTCTCTGTGGGCGGGTGGGAGGTCACAGATGAGCCCGTGGGCCGCCTGTCCGTGTGGGCTGTGACCCTGCAGGGAAAGGTAAGGAGGCAGCGGACAAAGGCCGCCCCCAGAGCAGGCGCGGCAGAGGCTGCCCCTGCCAGCCTCCCGGGGTGGACGAACGCCGGCTGTCCCCGGGCCCTCCTCCTCACGTCCCGTCCCAGCAGCGGGGGCTGCCTGAGCAGGTGGCATGTCACTGGGGTCCGCACACACCCCCCCCTGTGACCCTGCTGTCCTGGGGACCTCCTGGGTCCTTGTCCTCCCAGAAGCCTCTGAGCTCCCGCGCATGCCTGGTCCTGGCCTGTCCCCCCCTGAGCACCTGGAGCCTTGGTCGGTGCCCACCCTGGGCTGGCCGCATCAGGCTTGGCTCCTCAGAGAGGCACTCGGCTCCCTTCCCACTGACCTGTGGAGCCTCCCACACAGCAGAGTCTCCAGTACATTAAGGGTGGGTGGGTAGGATGGGTAGATAAGTGGATGGATGGGTAGGGGTGTGGATAGGTGGGTGTGTGTGTGTAAGTGGATGGATAGTTAGGTGGATGAATGCATGGATGGGTGGATGAGCAGATGGGTTGCTAGACAGGTATACGGATGAATGGATGGTGGATTACTAGGTGGGTGGATGGGTGGATGGATGGGTGGATGGGGGGGATATTCAGACAGGAGAGGAGAGCCTTCTCTGGGGAGCTTGTGATCTAAGAAATGTGACTGAAAGAAATGAAACCCACCCCTGACAGCAGCAGTGACAGCGACACCAATGGTCCTGGGTGCAGGCGATCTAACGCTTGTGACTCCTCAGCACTCTGAACACAGACTGATCCCAGTTCTCTGGGTGGCTTAGAGTAGTCCCAGCAGGTGTCTGTCAGGCTCGCCTCCAAGCTTGGTCCATGCTGAGGCCGCCCGTGGTGGCGTTCTCTTAGCCACACTGCGGGGTGCTGGCAGCTGGACTGGACGGAGCACCACTGAGGGGCCACCTGGATGCAGAGAGGGAAGAGTGGGTTTGAGAGCCGTGCTGGGTGTGAGCCAGCACTCCTGTGGCACTCCCGCGGTCCATTAAAGGTGGAACCAGGACCTGGGCTTTGGGAGAAGCTGGGCAGACAGTCGGGTCAAAACCAGCAGGCAGCAGGAGTGGGGCTGCCCGGGACTGGTTCTGCAGCGTGGGGGGCTGTGGATCCAGCCGCTGGTTTAGTCACTGGATAAGCTGTCTGAAGAAGCACCCAGCAAATAGGGCACATTACCCGGAACGCATGTGGGCGATGGTGAGAGTCATAACCTATCCACTCCAGGGTCCCTTTTTTCCGTTGGAAAATACTGTTTATACTAAATCACTGGAAAGGTTTTATTCATTATCATAAGTGAGATGTTACATATTTCAAAAATGTTACTCTGCGGAGATAGCATAGAATTTAAAGTTTATAAATAAAATTAATGAGTAATAAATGTCACTATAAAGAATATTTTTTAAAAAGGTGAGGTGACAGGGTTGGAAGGCCTTGGACCTCAGCCCTCCTGGACCATGGAGATATGCTGCCCCCTCCAGATGAAACGAGCAACATGGTTTAGACAATAGAAGCAGGTGGTTCCATCTTAAATATCTGATTATGCTCCCTGTCATCCGGTTAAGGACAGAAGCAGCATTTTGCTGTTGTTACTCAGTTGCTAAGTCCTGTCCGACTCTTTGGACCCTGTGAACTGCAGCACACCAGGCTTCCCTGTCCAGAGTTTGTTCAAATCCGTGTCCACTAAGTCAGTGATGCCATCCAACCATCTCATCCTCTGTTGCCCCCTTCTCTTTTGGCCTTCAACCTTTCCTGCATCAGGGTCTTTCCCAATGAGTCAGATCTTTTCATCAGGTGCCTAAAGTATTGGAGCTTCAGCATCAGTCCTTGCAAAGAACATTTTGAAGTGAAGTGTTAGTTGCTAGTTGTAGCTGACTTTTGTGACCCCATGGACTGTAGCCCACCAGGCGTTGCCAGTTCCTTCTCCAGAGGATCTTCCTGACCCAGGGATTGAACCCGGGTCTCCTGCATTCCAGGCAGATTCTTATACCATCTGAGCCACCAGGGAAACCCAAAGAACACTTTTTGTTGTTGTTCAGTCGCTCAGCCGTGTCTGACTCTTTGCGACCCCGTGGACTACAGCACACCAGGCTTTCCTGTCCTTCACCATCTCCTGGAGCTTGCTCAAGCTCATGTCCATTGAGTCAGTGATACCATCCAACCATCTTGTCCTCTCTCGTCCCCTTCTCCTGCCCTCAATCTTTCCCAGCATCAGGGTCTTTTCCAATGAGTCACCTCTTCACAGTAGGTGGCCAAGTATTGGAGCTTCAGCATCAGTCTTTCTAATGAATATTCAGGATTGATTTCCTTTAGGATTGACTGGTTTGATCTCCTTGTAGCTTTAGACATTCCTAAAAAGGAGGCTTAAGGGTTTTCTTTTCTAGCCACCCAAGCCCCTGCTTCTCTTAGAGGCAGGTGTGGTGAGAGCATTTGGCCACTAGGGGGTGCAGGACACCCAGGCCAGGGCTGGAGTCCTCACAAGTCAAGCAGGTGACAAAGGAGGTCTGTCCCCTGGGGCCGCCAAAATCCACGTGTCGGTGTCGCATATTCTAGCACAGGCAGGAGACATCTAATCTGGCTCAAGGCTCTAGATGGCAGCGGGGGCAAGGTGAGGGAGACCCGGGTGGGCCCCTAGAGACCCTGGTCCTCTGGAGACCCCCACGCCTGGGCTGTGCACAGGCTGGTGCAGACACAGCCAAGCTCTGGAAGTCAACCCCGGCATGGAGCCCTGGCCTGACCCTGCTGGTATCCGTTGCCTCCCAGGTGTGGTACAGAGAGAACGTCAGCCACCACAACCCCGAAGGCTCGTCGTGGTCCCTGGTAGACACCCCCGGGGAGGCGGTTCAGATCAGCTGTGGGCCCCACGACCTGCTGTGGGTGACGCTCTGGGAGGGCCAGGCCTTGGTTCGGGAAGGAATCAACAGGAACAACCCCAAAGGTGGGCGGCTCTGCATGCTGGGCTGGGAGAGGTGGGCAGGGGGCGCCGGGCTTCAACCCCGCACCCCCACCCCGAGCTCCCAGTGATGGGGGCTGCCTGCACTTCCTCCTGGGGCCGGGTAGGAAGTTCCTGGTCCACAGTGGAGCCTCCCACATCTGAAAACGGGATCCTGCATGTCTCCACGGGAGTCTGCGTGGTCTGGGCCGTCACTAAGGACCGGAAGGTAAGACAGGGTCCCTGGGGCAGGGTCCGAGGGTTCGGTTTAATGTTGAGGGTCGTGTGAGTTTTTGTCCTTGTGAGTGTGGTCTTAACTCCAGGGCTTCCCTAGTGGCCTGGTGGTAAAGAATTCTCCTGCCATTCAGGAGACATGGGTTCAATCCCTGATCCAGGAAGATCCCACATGATGCAGAGCAGCTAAGCTCGTGGGCCACAACTATTGAGCCCTCGAGCTCCAGAGCCCGTGCCCCACAAGAGAAGGCACCGCATCAGAAGCCCTTGCACCGCACCTAGAGACAGCCCCTGCCCACCACGACTAGAGAAAAGCCCACGCGGCAACAGACCCAGCACTGCCAACAGTTAAAACAGGAACTAATAAAAAATAAGATTATACTCTGTAGAACACATCTGGCATCAGCCGAGCCCTGTGCATTTTTCTGCTGTTGTCACTGATGATCTCCGAGCTCTTTGGTGACCCCACCCCCATCTTGCCTGCACCCCTGTACCAAGCACAGAATGACTATCCCTCAACAGGCCATAGCATTCCAAATATCAGAAGCAAACTCTCAGCTAACTGATCGACTCCCCGTCCTGTCCAGACCTGCTCATTTTTACTTCATCGGAGGCAAATCCAGTGAAATAAGCTTACTTCGAGTTGCTTTCACAATCTCTTTTTTTCTTCTTGCTTCCACGATCTCTAATCCCACATCCAGGGTGTCCTGTCTTTCTTTCTGTTGGGTCTCAGCTGTTGTTCAGGCCTTTCTCCAGTTGCAGGGAGCAGGGCTCGCCCTCCAGCCGCGGTGCGTGGGCCTCTCACTGCCCGTTGCAGAGTCTGGGCCCTGGAGCCCACAGGCCTCAGCAGGTTGTGGCTCCCGGGCTAGAGAGACAGGCTCAGTGGTTGTGGCATGAGGGCCTAGTTGCTCCGCAGCAGGTGGGATCCTCCTGGATCAGGGGTCACACCTGTGTCCCGCGCACTGGCAGGGGGATTCCTCACCGCTGAGCCGCCGGGGATGCCCAAGGGCATCCTTTCTGAATGGGGTGCTGTGCTCATCTGTGGCCTAAACCAAAGGACCAAATTACTCATTTGTTCTTCCTGAGACTTAAAAAAAAAAAACCTTGCATTTCAGTGGTCCTCCAAGGAGGTGTGTTTATTTTTGATTTTCCCAGGTTTGGTTCCGAAGAGGCGTCAACTCTCACAACCCCTGTGGCACCAGCTGGATCGAGATGTTTGGAGAAATGATGATGGTGAACGTGGGCCTCAATGACCAGGTGTGTGTGGTTCTGAGCCGAGGTCAGCGGGGGCGGCCTGGAGCGGGTGCCCCCTGCTCCCCACCGATCCTTTCCACCAGGCCTGCCCGTGAGGCTGCTAGGGGAGGGGTCTAGGGCGGGCACACACTGCAGGCCCATGAGGGCAGCCGGGAGGCCGCTTCCGGCTGAGCCCCGGAGCAGTGGCCACGAGCACAGATCTGGGCGGGGGCGTTCATCCTGGAGACTGGGAGGCATGCTGAGAAATAGCTGCGCACAGGTAAAGGGCAAAACATTTTCCAGCTCTAGCAGCAGCATCTCGTTAAGCATCATGAGCATGGTTCCTACGGGGTAGCCTCTTCCTCGTAGACAGAGAGGTTTGGCTACTTATAAGGCTCAAGGGTGAAGGTGACACTTTTCCCATTGCTCTAAAAGCACTTCCAGGGTGTGGGGGTGGCGGCCTTTCCTGTGCCCACTCACCATCCTCACTCGCCTTGGTGGGCTGGGCACCCATGGGCGGGGGCGAGGTGGGTGCTCGCTGGTGCCCACAGGTGTGACCACAGAGGCCATGGGCCATGACCAAGTAACAGAGACGCCCCGACCCCCACAGCAAGGGCTCCTGGGGCCACGGCTCTGTCTTTGGGCACCCCCAAAGCCAGGGCCCCTCCTCTGGGTCCTTCAGGTGCCCACACACCCACCTTCCTCAGCGCCCAAAGACAGAGGGCAGGAGGCTTGCCCAGCATCTTCCCCCTAAAAATGAGACTGGAATCAAGGTTATTTCGCCTCTTCAGAAAGACCAGGAGCATCCTCTGGGTTCACTTGGGGAGCAGCTTCCTTCCCACAAAATGTCACACGGAGGATGGGGGACACGGGTGGGCGTCCGTCCCCACACAGCACCCACCAGCACTGCCACCTCTGTGGACCCTGGTGCCCCAAAGCCCTGAGCCGCCCTGAGGTCGTGGAGCCAGGCAGGGCCCCCTGCTCCTCCTGGGCTTGGGGCCACACCCACCCTGGCCCTCTGGGCTCCGCTTCCCGCATCCCAGTCCTGTACAACGGCCCCCAGCCCCTTCCCAGGCACACCCCAGCCCATGCTTGGAGATGTGTGCTCGACTGGGGTTCTCGCCGCACGCGGTCCCGCCGCCCCCCCAGAAGGACGGGAGCTCTGCGCCGCCCGCCCAGCCGTACCTCTCCGCGCAGGTCTGGGGCATCGGCTGCGTGGACCGGGCCCTGTACTTCCGTCAGGGCGTCACCCAGAGCGAGCTCAGCGGGAAGACGTGGAAGGCCATTGTCGCCGGCCGGGAGGGCGACCGCTCGCTCTCGGGCAGCTCCATCAGCCTCCTCAGGTGACGGGCGGTGGGCTTGGCGGGGCCGGGAGGGCGGGCAGGGTCAGAGGGGGCTGGCCCGGCCTCGTCCCCGGCGGGAGAGAACCGGGCCGACCCACGAGCACCATGGCCGTGGGGCCTCCTCTCCTCCTGGGCCGGGGTCCTGCTGGGCCCGAGGGCAAGAGCCGAGCACGGGAGGCGGGAAGGCGCAGCTCTGCGAGGACAGGGCGTCCGTCCACATGGGCCTGGGGCCGGCCCAAGCGGGGTGGCCTTTGGTGTTGAAGCCTCAGGATCTGGGAGAGAAAAGGCTTCCTTTCCAGGGCTGCTCAGACCCTGTGTCCGAGGAGAGTGGGAAGGAAGGTGCAGGGTCTCAAGCTGGAGGCGAGGCCCCGGACTGAGACCAGAACTCCTGGAGGCCTAACTCCCTGGGATCCTCACGCCCGGCCCTCAGAGCTTCCTTTTTGAGGTTCTGTTTTTCTCGCAAGGTCCCAGGTGTGCCCGGCCGCAACTCTGCGGACCATGCCCTGGTCTTGCTGGGGTCAGAGAAGGGGACGCGGCCCAGCCCTGCCCGCTGGCCAGGGGAACGCTGGCAGGTGACCCTGCGCCTCAGCCGGGGCTGCCTCTGCTCTGTGGCGGGGGGCTGCCCGCACTCACCCTCCCAGCCGCGGCCCACGATCCTATCTGCAGCTCGGGCCCCCCCTCAGACGCTGGTCTCCACCCTCCGCTCCCTCAGCCTGGCGCTCAGTACTCGGCTGCACCGTCCACCTAGAGGGGCTGGGAGACCGGCCAGGCAGGGTTTGCTCGCATTTACCTGCTGGTTTCAGCTTCAGCCAATAGTTCTCGAAGCAGGCAGCACATTGGGATCAGCTGAGAACTTCCACTGATGCCAGATCTTCATGACCTTGGGTTTGCAACAGCTTCTTAGATACGACACCCAAAGCACAAGAAACTAAAGGGAACGTAGAGAAGTCAGAGTTCATCAACATTAAGAAAATTTTGTGCCTCTGAGGACACTTCAAGAAAATGAAAAAATCAAAAGGATGGGAGAAAATATTGGAAATCATATATATGACAAGATCTACTGTCTAAAATATATAAAGGGCTCCTGCAACTCAACAACAGATAAAAACAACCTGAAAAGGGCCAAGGAGGGACTTCCCTGGTGCTCCTGCAGTGAAGGATGTGCCCTGCAATGCACGGGACGTGTGTTCAATCCTTGGTTGAGGAACTAGGATCCCAAAAGTAGAGAGTCCAAAAGTGCCACAAGTAAAGAGTCCATGAGACACAAGGAAAGATACCAAAACGAAGATCTCGTGTGCCGCAACTAATACCCAACGCAGCCAAATACATAAATATTTTTAGAGTTTGCATGTCACAATGAAGATCAACGGTCCCATGTGCCACAATTAAGACCCAAGGCAACCAAATAAATTAAAAAAAAATTTTTTTAAGTAGAGAGGAAAAAGACTTGAATAGATACTTCTGCATAGTAGGTACATGAGTGGCCCAGAAGCAGAGGAAAAGATGCTTCACATGAGGGAAATGCAAACAAAACCACATTAAAAAGACAAAAGGAAACACGTTGGATACCACTTCACACCCACCAGAACAGCTGGAAAAGAGAGACAGAAACAGTGTTGACAGGATGTGGAGAAACCAGAAACCTCCTGCCCTGCACTGCTGGGGGTGTAAATGATGCTGCCACTTTGGAAAACAGTGTGGCAGCTCCTCAAAAAGGTAAAGACACAGTTACCATAGGACCCAGCGATTTCAGTCCTAGATAGATGCCCAGAAGAACCGAAAACAGATGTTTAAACAAAAATTTGTTCACAAATATTTATAGCAACACTGATGGGCTTCCCAGGTGTTGCTAGTGGTAAAGAATTCGCCTGCCAATGCAGGAGACGCAGAGACACAGGTTCGATCCCCAGGTCAGGAAGATCCCCTGGAGAAGGAAATGACAACCCACTGCAATATTCTCGTCTGGAGAATCCCATGGACAGAGGAGCCTGGTGAGCTAGAGCCCATGGGGGTTGCAAAGCGTTGTAAACAACTGAGCAACTAATACACCCCTTATGCTCACAATAGACAAAACATGGAAGCAACTCAAATGTCTGCCAGTGGAAGAATGGATAAATAAAACAGTGTATCCATACAATGAATATTATCTAACAACAAAAAGGGATGAAGAGCTGACACCCGCTACAGCAGGGATGACCCTGCCATCATTACACCAAGTTGGCAGCAGACAGTCACAAAAGGTCACAGCCTGACCATGCCATTTGTATGAAGAGTCTGTGGAGGCTGAGAGCGAACTAGCGGCTGCCAGGAGGCTCAGGGGAGAGAGGAGAGTGGAGAGTGACTTCTTAATGGGTAGTTTCCATTCGGGGTGCTGAGAAGGTTCTGGAAGTTGGTTGTGGTTGCACCACACTGCAGATGTACTTAATGCCACTGCATTTCACAATTTTAAATGGTACATTTTACATCCCATGTTTTTACAATAAAAAAGCCATGATGCTGCCAGATCGCCACCCCAGATCCATTGGTTTGGTTGGTCGGGGTGTGACGCAGGGGCCTCTCCAAGCTCCCGGGGTTCCCACTCCCTGGGAGGCAGGTACTGGTGTCTCTGGCAGAGAGGCTGAGACGTGCCCAGGGAGTCACACATTCTGTGTCCAAGGGAGTCACAGGTCTGCCCCCTTCCCTCCAGCGCCGGCTGCTTCTTTGGAAACGAAGTGAGGGGCGGTGCCGAGTCCTGTGGTCCTGGGGACACGGATGCCTCCTGGGAGGTCCCCGGCCCTGCCTCCAGCCCGGCCAGGCTGCGTGGGAAGGAGTCCAAGAAAGGGCCCAGCCACACAACTGCCAACTTTCCGGAGGCCACCGACCTCTCCTCGCTGACGCTCCTCCCGCTGGGCCTGGAGGAGCCCGAGAGCGCCGACTGCCACGCGCTGTGGGCCTGGGTGTCCGGCGGAGGCTGTGCCGTGGAGGCCCACACCACGCTCAAGTGGTTCACCACCCAGTCGGGTAAGCGAGGCCGCCCAGCGCCACAGAGGGGGCCCGGGGGGATCTGGAGCAAGCCTGGCGCCCCCACTGTGCTCAGCCCGTCTTTCTGGAGCCTTGCGCGATAAGTAGGGCAGTCAGAAGGAAGGGCATCAGCCTGGCCCCTCCCCTCCCATCCCAGCAGGGGTGGCCATCCCAGGCTGACCTGGGGGGACGCCTGCTTCCCTACCAGGGTGAACGATGGCAGGGAGGGTTCACAGGACATTTCACAGAGATGCTAGCCTTCCGGAAAGAAAGGGCTGATGCTGGCCTGCAGCCCGGCTCTGAGGCTGCGACTGGCCAGCAGGCCTGTCCCCCTCGACGCAGACGCTCTTGCTGTCCATCACTCCTGCCCAGACCGCTGCCTGGCGGAAGCAGATCTTCCAGCAGCTCACGGAAAGGACCAAGCGGGAGCTGGAGAAGTTCCAGCACTACGAGCAGGCGGTGGAGCAGGTGCGCGGCGCCCGGGGCACTTCCTCCAGCAGGCATTCATTGAGCGCCTGCTGTATGCCCACCCCGAGGAGAGTTGTGTGCTCCAGGCACAGAAGACCTGGCCCCGTCTTGGCTGGTGTGGGTCCCCGCCTTGCAGCTGACTCCTCTGTGACGCGGTTGGGCACAGAACTGCCCAGGCCTCAGTTTTCCCACCCTGTTCAGGGGGTAGCGGTGCTAATCCCGAGAATCACAGAACTCCCTGGCTTGGGGCCTGGCCCCCTGGTGGGTGTCTGATGGTGTCACTTTTGTCCTTAGGGTGAAGTGGGGGGGGGGGATGGGAGGGCTGATTGGAGCGACCCGAGGCAACGAAGGGACCAGGGTGGCCCTGGGGTGCCGGGTCCAGGCTGGAGTGTGGGGGCCCCTGGGGCCCGCCTCTGACTCCATCCCACTGTGCTCGGGCTCTGCCCCAGTCTGTGTGGGTGAAGACCGGGGCCCTGCAGTGGTGGTGTGACTGGAAACCCCACAAGTGGGTGGATGTCCACGTGGCCCTGGAGCAGCTCACGGGCAACGACGCGGCTCAGGACAGCATCCTCTTCATCTACTACGTGGTCCACGAGGAGAAGAAGGTGGGCAGGGCGTCGTGGAGGGGTGGGGGCAGGGAGGTGGGGGGGTTGCCGGGGGGGAGCGGTGCTGTGTTTAGGGGAGGGGTCTTCCAGGGAAGGGAGTGGGGTGGCTGCATCCCAGGCAGTGGGGGCAGCTGTGTGCCAGATGAGGAAGCAGGCTCTGGAGGCAGAGTCAGCCTCCCACCAGGGCTGGGGTTTGAACCAAATCAATCCGGTTCTAAACATTAAAAAGGTCACTCAGGTTTCTGCTCAGGAGCGAGCCCTCCACAGTGACCATGCCTCCCACCTGCACTGAGCCCCACCGTTCTCGGCCCCCAAGGCCTTCTGACCCTGCGCCCCCGACGGTGCCGGGGCTCCACCCAGGGTCCCACTGACCCCCGCCTTCTGCATGCAGTACATCCACGTGTTCCTCAACGAGGTGACGGCGCTGGTCCCCGTGTTCAACGAGGCCAAGCACTCCTTCGCCCTGTACACCCCCGAGAGGACGCGGCAGCGGTGGCCCGTGCGCCTGGCCGCCACCACCGAGCAGGACATGAGCGACTGGGTGAGTGGGTGGGGGTCCCCTGGGTGGGGGCGGGGCCGCCATCTTAGGGCCAGCCCAGCCTTGCTGACCCGCCTCCTCCCTCGCCAGCTCACCCTGCTCAACCTGTCCTGCTGTGAGAGCCGGAGACTGCACGGCCGCCCCTCCCCGCAGGCCATCTGGTCTGTCACCTGCAAGGGAGACATCTTCGTGAGCGAGCCTGGCCCGGACCTCGAGGCCCCCGAGCGCCGGCTGCCCTGCGACCAGATGTGAGTCAGCTGCGCCTGACTGGGCTGGGGGCTGGGGGCTGGGGGCTGGTCCGGCCCCAGATCTGAGTTCCCGCTGGCCTGGCCTGTTCGAGGACCCCAAGGGGGCCCCAGGAGCCTGGCGGGGCTGGGGGGTGAGGCAGATGTGGCCCACAGGTGGCATTTAAAACCATGAGGTGGAGTGAGGCCCCCCGGGGGGCAGCGTGAGCAGAGTCCTGAGGACGTAGGGCTTCGACTGTGTCCTGCTGCTGCTCCCCAGTCACCAGAGCCCGTGAGGACTGGGGGCACGTGGGTGAGGCCGGGGCCCCACACAGGAGGGAGAAGGGACATCCGCTCACCCTCTGCTTGTCTGCTCCTGGTGGCCCTGTGTGCCCGGGGCCCAGACGAGCCCCCTCTGGTGACAGTGCAGGGCCTCCGCCTTCAGGAGGGCGACCCGGGTGGCTGCACACCCCGCATTCGGGAGACCACGCCGGCCCACGTGGTGGCTCACCCTGCTCTGCCATGACCTGCCTCGACCCGGGGAGCAGGAACTCGGGATGCTTACCTCAACTCCCCACAACCATCCCCGTTATCCACACGGCTCCACGGACAGGGACTCCTGAAGGCCCTGCCCACCGCAGGCCTGACCGGCTCCTGCGCCCGCTCTGGGCCCCCTTAGCTGGTTAATTCCCCCAGGGAAGCCGGGCAGGTTCCCTCGTCCTCAGTCGAGTCTGTCCCTGGAGACCAAAGCTGAGTCAAACAGGAGCCCTGGAAGGCTGCGGAGGGAGGGGACGAGGCCGGAGAGACCTGCTGGACGCGCCCCCCTCCCTCCTCACGCTGCAGGTTCTGGCGGCAGATAGGCGGCCACCTGCGGGTGGTGGAAGCCAACAGCCGGGGCGTGGTGTGGGGCATCGGCTACGACCACACGGCCTGGGTCTACACAGGCGGCTACGGCGGAGGCTGCTTCCAAGGTGAAGGCGGGCCCCTCTCCCCCAGGCCCACCCTGCTCTAATCCCCAGCTGGCTTCCCTGCCTCCGCGCTGGCGCTTGGCTGACGGGTGACCTTCACCTCTGCCAACCTCCAAGTCCCGGGGCCAAAGCACACGGCACGAGCCCACAAAGGCCTGGCCTCCGACGAGCCTTCCCGGGCACCCATGGCTGAGCCAGAGACCATGTAGGTTTCAGAAGGACAGCTGCTGGAGCCAGTCTAATTCCAGTCCCTCTTTGGGGGGGTCGTGCCTTAGTGGGTGAGAGATTGCTGAACCCCCATGGGCTCCCTGCATCCCAGAGGCAGGGCCCCTGTGTCTCCTACAGATAAACGAAGGCAGAAGCAAACCCTGAAATGGGACATTTCATGCCCTGGCCCACACACCCCACAGTGAGGGCAGCTAACCCTGTGGAAGTGTGGTCCAGAGACCGCTGGAACATATCTGCACAGGCTTAATGGCATCCGTTTGTGAAGCAGGAATTCCCTTGGTCCCCACCTTACAAATGAGAACATGGGGTTCTTGAAGGCCATGTGAGGGGTCCGAGGCACCTTAGTAAGGAGTTGAGGGGCCCTCACACCCACCGGGTGCCAGGTAAGTGAGATGGAAGGGGTGAGAGGTGTACCCAGTAGAAGAGAGGCAGGTGATCCGCCCCCTAGGAGGATAGAAACCTGAGCCAGCCAGCCCCTGCGAGACACCCAGCCAGCTCACCAAGCCCTCCCGGGCTGCCCGCCCGCCTGCTCTCACCTGGCCGGGTGGGCGGGCAGCAGGTGTGGCTTAGGTGTGACCACCTCCTCTCCCCCCAGGCCTGGCCAACAGCACCAGCAACGTCTTCACACAGTGGGACGTGAAGTGCGTCCACATCTACGAGAACCAGCGCTGGAACCCCGTCACAGGCTACACCAGCAGGTAGGCCACGTGGGTGCCTGCAGAAGCAGGACCCAGTTGGACAGCTGCATCCCAAGTAGTGGGAGAGCTGGCGTCCAGCCCCCAACGTGGAACTAACTGGATCCAACTGCCTACAGGATTTTTTCCCCCATGAATCTTTAAGTATAACACATATCTTAAAAACTCACTTATGGGGAGCATAACATATATCAAGTTCATGAAATGTGCATATACATACATGTGGTGAGATGCGTCTATCGAAGTACATGTAGACATAACGTAGATATGTCCATATATATCACTGTGTATGTGCGTTCTAAGTCGCTTCAGTTGTGTCCCACTCTGCAACCCCATGGACTGTAGCCCACCAGGCTCCTCTGTCAGTGGGATTCTCCAGACAAGAATACTGGAGTGGGTTGCCGTGTCCTCCTCCAAAGGATCATCCTGACCCAGGGACTGAACTCACATCTACTCCTGCATTGGCAAGCGGGTGGGTTTTTACCACTAGTGCCATCTGGGAAGCCTGTGTATTACTGACTTATCAGAAATCAAACGCCAACATAATCACTACCAGGGTCAAGAAATAGAACACTGCCACCCCCTCCCCATCCCATCTGGTGCTTTTTTTTAGGGGGGAGAGGGGAGTAATTTAACTTTTTAAAAAAGTTTTGCTTAATGGGACCTACTGAGAACACTGCAGCTTCCACCGAAATTATTTTAATTCTGCAGATGTGAGGCTTTGGGACAAGAGAGTGGTACTGTGTTTGAGACAGAAGTGGAGACACTGTAGAAAAGCTAGATCGTATGCCTCTTCTTATTTCCTCAACATAGAAACTTGTTTCTCATACTCTTCCTGGGATATGTTCTTTTGCTTGTTTTAAAAAGTAAACGAGTTGTGGTATTTCTTAGCCCTTAAAGCCGTTGCATGAGTTCCAGTGGCCAGAGCAGCCTTATCTAAGTTCAGCGTTGGGGAGCCTCCCAGAAAGACTTTGCCCTGTGGGTCTCTTCTTTCCACTGGTCCCGGTATAATAAAACTACAAGAGTTCTCTCGTAAGTAGAGAGCTTTCGAGTCATTCTAGCAAATTATCACATCTGAGGTAATGGGAGCCCTTCAGTTTGTAGTCAGTCAGTCAGAAGCCCGGTGTGGCTGCAGTCTGAGGTGAGGTGGTTTTGCTGGGGACTGTGTCCTTTACCTTGTGGGGACCTAGTGGTGTTGCCGTCCACCCGGCTGATGTTGGAATTGCCAGCTCTCTGAAGTGGTCATGCCCCCACATTTCTGCTGTTTGTGTTGCAGCCATTTTGGTGACTGTGGAGTCGTGTCTCCTGTTTCCAGTTGCTGTTTCCTGGCAGCTAAATGGGCAAAGGGCCTGTCACATCCATGGCACTTGGATACTTTCTCCTTTGCAAAATGCCCCTTCGAGTCCTTGTCCTGTGCTTTTGTTGATCTTTTTATCGATTTGCCAGTGCTCTTTATATATGAGGGTGTGAGCCCTTTGTTACATATTCACCCTATAAGCAGTAACTTTTAATTATTAAATGTAGTCCAGTGATCTTTTTTTTTTTTTAATGTAAAAATGGAGCCATACAAAAACCCTCTTAAGAAATCTCATTAACCCTAAGGGAATAAATACATCCTCCTATCTCTGGAACTGCAGTCAGCAGACTTTCTATAAAGGACCAGATAGTAAATAGTTGAAGTGTGGTGGGCCTTAGGGTGTCTGTCACAACAGCTCGCTCTGCAGCTGTCTCTTGAAAGCAGTCACAGAAATAAATGAGCATCACTGTCCCAGTGAGATGTTACATCTGGACACAAATTTGAATTGCGCAGAATTTTCACTTGTCATGAAAGCATTGTCCTTTTTTTCCCCAACCATTTAAAATGTAAAAACCACCCTTATCTTGTAGGCTGTGCTGACAGTTGTGATTAGGCCCCGGGACATGATTGGTCCAGCCTGTTCTAGAAGCTTACTCCTCTGTCTTATCCACTTAGGTCTAGAACCCCCTCACCCGAACTAGTTGGTATGTAGTGAGGTAGGCATCAAGTGTTGTTGGTCTTTTACTATCCAGTGACCCACACCATTTATTGAAAAAGACTATCCTTTTCCCTTGCATCACAACAGCCACTTTTGTTGTAACTCAGGTGTTCATTCTGGCACAAACTTTTTTATTTCCTTTCTTGTTTTTTCAAATTGATGAAATATGAAGTAACACAAAGAATAAAAACTCTAATCCCACCAACCAGATAGCCACCACTTTTAGCATTTCAGAGTTCTCCTTCTGCTCGTCCCTGTATGCCTACGTTTGCTGGTAGCGGGGGCAGCGAGGGGTACAGTCAGGCATGTAGAGATGGTGGGTGGGTGACAGCCTCCACTCAATCCCTGAGGGTGGATAGGCTTATCTAACCTCTCCTCAGTCGTGGATGTGTAGACCATTTGTGACCTTTCGTACGGACAGTTTCAAGGATTTCCTCATGTGTAAATATTTGTGTCTGTCTGTTCATCTCAGGAAGTCAGGGTTTGAGCTCTTCTAAGGCAGCTTATACACACTGCATGTGTTCTGGAAACCTCTGCCTCAGCTGTGTGTCGGGTCCACACAGGGTGCTGACCTGCCTGCCTCTGCCCTTCTTTCTCACTCCCCGCTTGGTCCTTGGGCTGCCCCGGGGTCAGAGCCACCGGGGAGACCACCCTGTACTGTGTGTGCTGGGAGCGTCCGTCAGGCAGCGTTGCTGCAACAAAACACCACGGGCTAATAGCTTAAACAGCAGACGTCCATCCTCTAGGTTCCAGAGGCCTTGGAGTCTGAGTCAGCTGTCAGCAGGTCTCTTCCCCATGAGGGCCATGGAGAAGATCTGTTCAAGTCTCCGTCCTGGCTCCAGGGGCCCCAGGTGCTCCCTTGGCTGGTGGCAGCATCACTTAGTCATTACATGGCCTTCTCCTGGTCTTCACATCAGCTTCCTGATTTGGGAAGCTTGGGTCCAAATCTCCCCTTTCGTAAGGACGCTGTCATAGCGGAGTAGAGCCCACTCAGTAACTGTCTCATCTCAGCCAGGCCCTCTGCAGAGACCCCCTTTTCAAATAAGGTCATGCCCACAGGACACGACCACACAGAATGCAAAAGAAGGGCGGTGGGGTCCACAGGCCCCAGGTGGGTGATCTGGCTGTCTGGTGTCTGGAGCTCCTTCTGTTTCTGCCCACCCCACCCCTCCCCGCAGGAGATGCAGGCACCTGGGCGGCGGGTGGTGGCGGTGCTGTGTTCCCCTCTCTCTGGCGTCACCTCACCCCTGGTGTCCCGCGCAGGGGTCTGCCCACCGATCGGTACATGTGGAGTGACGCCACGGGCCTGCAGGAGTGCACCAAGGCCAGCACGAAGCCCCCGTCCCTGCAGTGGACCTGGGTGAGCCCCGGGCTGGGGGTGGGGCGGAGGTTGCGGTAGGGGGTCTGCCCACACCAACCCACCTGTTCCTCCAGGTTTCTGACTGGTTCGTGGATTTCAGCATCCCCGGCGGCACGGACCCAGAGGGGTGGCAGTACGCCAGTGACTTCCCCGCGTGAGCGTCTCTCTCTCTCCTTGGGGAGGGGGCCCTCGGGGGCTGGGGCCCCGCGCGTCAGACCTGGCGAAGTCAGGCGAAGCCCCTCCACCCTGCCCAGTGGTGCAGGCCCTTCACGGTACACCCGAGTCACGTTCAGATGGAGGACGGAGCCGAGAAAGACCGAGCCAGAGCCTGAGCCGAGGCTTCTGAGCAGATGATGTCTGGTGGGGAGGAGGTTTATCCTGATCTAAGCCTTCCCTCTGACCTCAAGCCCTGAACTTGACTGCTCACAGAAGAGCAATATGAGGCCTGGGATTGGGAGGGCTCAGAGGCCCCTTAGCTAGAAACCACCGCCCCCCGCACCCCCCCCCCTTCTTCGTGCCCCGGCCACCACAGGTAGCTGCCACGTCTAGGCCTCAGTGAGGTCCCAGCCCCAGGGAGACCTTGACCCCAGGAAGACCCCCTCCTGAGGGAGGCCTGGGTGGGGCTAGAGGCCCCTGAAGCAGGATGGTGTCCTATATTACCTGCTGTCCCTGCTTAGCTCACACTGAGGGCCTGGGAGAAGGAATGCGTGTGCAGTGTTGCTTTCCAGAAAATTCCACAGAATGGTGCTGACTTCAGCTTTTTCCTCTTGCAGCTCGTACCACAAGTACAAAACCATGAAGGATTTCGTCAGGAGAAGGTGCTGGGCCAGGTGAGAAGGCAGGTAACTGAGGGGTGTGGCCGCGCCCCTCCCTGCTGGAAGAGGGGAAGAAAGGGAGAATTTACAACTGGGGAGGAGAAAACAGGATCAAAATAAATGTCAGCCCAGGAAGTGCCCCCGGGCTCCCAGGGCTGTTTCTGAAGGGTTTGTTTTCAAGAACAAATAAGAGAAATGTCATTGGCAGGGCCCGCAGGATCTTGGGGGGGTCGGGGGGGGCCTGGCTTGGAGTGGGGGCAGGGCAGGGGCAGACAGCACAGGAGGGTGGTGCCCACCGCTCCTGTCGGGGTCAGGGGCTTGGCTGCTCCCTTCTGTCCAGACCGGGTGGCCCTGGGGCTCCCAGCACCACCAGGATGACCAGGGCTTTGTTCTGTCTGCCGCTCAGAAAGTGCAAGCTGGTGACCAGCGGGCCCTGGCTCGAGGTGACCTCAGTGGCCCTCAGGGACGTGTCCATCATCCCCGAGAGTCCCGGCGCCCAGGGGAGCGGGCCGAACATTGCACTCTGGGCCGTCAGTGACAAGGGGGACGTGCTGTGCCGTCTGGGTGTGTCCGAGCTCAACCCCGAGGTGGGCACCCGGCGGGGGAACCCAGAGCCTGCCCAGCCCGCTGCCCCCTCGGGGCTCGGGCGGATTCTCACTGAGACATGACTCCGCGGTGGAGTCGGGCTGGGCTCCGGCCTCCCCGGGCCTGACCAGGACGGTCCCTGGGCCCGGCGGACACCACACGTGGCTCGAGGGGGTCTCCACGCCTGCGGGCACTTGGAGCTGAGGTCGAGGTTGGCGTGAGGAACCGTCCGCCCCGGGGCCGGGCGGGCGACAGGCCTGGCCGGGGCAGCCCTGAGCGTCGCTCCTTCACCTCAGGGCTTCTGCTGGATGCACGTGGGCACCGACCAGCCCTTTACCTCCGTCTCCATCGGCGCCTGCTACCAGGTGTGGGCCGTAGCGAGGGACGGCTCCGCCTTCTACCGCAGCTCCGTGTCCCCCTCCAGGCCCAACGGTGAGAGCCCTCGCCTCAGGCGGACCCTCTGTGCCCGCCGCCGCCGCCGCCATGTTGTGACGGGTGCCAGGGGGCGGCTACAGCTACTTCCGCTTCCGGGGGAAGTCGGTTGACGGGTCTCCGTTTAACTCGACAAGCATTTACCCAGTGCTGCCTGTGGACCCGGCATGGGGCCAGGCTGGGCTACCCCCAGAGGCCACGCCCCCTCTGCTGGGATGACGCAGGGGTGGTCACTGGTGACGGGGCTGTCCTTCACCACCCTCGGCCTCCTGCCCCTCAGGGCCCTGCCTGGGCGCCCCCCGTGGCCCATCTACAGTGTCCACCTTGACTGCCCTCCAGGAGCGAAGGCCATGCAGGCTTGTTGTTGGCTGGCCATCTGGACAGTGTCCGGCACAGGGATTGATGGGTGTGTGGTGGCTGGTGCATCTCTGCCCTCCGCCTGGAGCAGTGGGTGCGCACAGCAGCCCGTGGCTGGGCTTCCACTGCAAGCCTGGCCGCGTTCCCGTCCCTGTTAGGGCCAGCAGCCGATCAGAAGCTGCCGCAGCCTGGGGAAAGCCCGGGCAGGCCAGGGCATTGAAGGGACAGCAGGACCCAGGTCAGCTCCCGCGGGGCTCTGTCACCGGTGTGGTCCGCCCGGTCTGGGGACAGGGGTTGGCTGCACCCGCTCGACCCTGAGAGCTGCAGAGGTGGCCAGGTGTGCCGCTTCCAGGCCCCATCCCAACCCATCTCCCACTGCAGGCGACTGCTGGTACCACATCCCGCCTCCTCCCAAACAGAGGTTGAAGCAGGTGTCCGTGGGGCACACCTCAGTGTTCGCCTTGGATGAAAATGGCAAGTGGCTTCTGATCCCCAGGGGTCACCCGGGGAGGGGGTTCCCTGACCACCCCGATGAGATGAGACCAGACCCTTGCCCACCAATGCCCCAGCACAAGACCTTCATGAGCCCCATGAGAGCTGCCAGTCTGAGGTCAGCCTTCCCACAGGCCCCCCTCCCCCTGGAGTCATGCAGGGTGGGGAGCACCAGCCCCCCCAGGTGCTCAGGCCTGCCTGCGCCTCGGGCAGAGAACACGGCGCCACGGCCCAGGAGCATCTTCTAGATGGTGCCACCCAGGCCTGGGACTCAGAGGTCACCTGCCCAGCCTGGGCCATCCCTGCCCCCCACCCCAGGCCACCTCCGAGCGGCTCTGCCCGCGCCCTTTCCTGACCTGTCGTTGTCACAGATGAACAAGGCGAGGAGCTGGAACCCGAGGCTCTTATTCCAGGCTGAGTCGCTGTGTCGTTTAAAGAACTCCTTGTCCTCAGGTTCTCATGCGTGGACAGAGGACGAGTGTGCCAGCGCTGTCCAGCACGATGATGATCTAGCGGGGTGCAGGCAGGCCTGGGAGGGCAGGGCTGGCCCAGGCTGTGGGCAGATGGAGAGGGAGACCCTGCCCGTCCGTCTCTCGGTCAGACCTCCTGGCCTTGCAGACCCTGCAGTGGGTCAGGACGCTCGGGGTCTCACATCACTGGCGTTTCTCTCTTAGGGAACCTGTGGTACCGCCAGGGGGTCACGCCCAGCCACCCGCAGGGCGACAGCTGGGAGCACGTGTCCAACAACGTGCGCCACGTGTCTGTGGGGCCCCTGGACCAGGTCTGGGGAGACGGATGGAGGGTGGATGCTCCCCCTGGGGGCGGGGACTGGGGGGGTCTGGTTCCTGCTCTGGTCACCCCCACTGCTGTCCCCATGGACCCCATGCCGCGAGGAGGGGGAGGGAGTGGGCTTCAGCAGGTCTCTGTTCCAGGTCTGGGTCATCGCTGACAAAGTCCAGGGGAGCCACAGCCTGAGCCGGGGAACTGTGTGTCGCCGCACGGGCGTGCAGTCCCTGGAGCCCAAGGGGCAGGGCTGGGACTATGGCATCGGGGTGAGCAGGCATCGGGCGGCTGTGCTGGCCAGGGACTCCGGGCCCCCAGGGGTCGGGTGGGGGGCCCTGGGCAGAGCCCGAGGGTCTGGCCACCTGGAGGGAAGGTCTCTGCCCTTTGACCCCCTCTCTCGTGGCCCTGGGTGAGTCGGTTCTCTTCTCCCAGGGGGGCTGGGATCACCTCTCCATCCGGGCCAGTGCCACCAGGGCCCCCGGGAGTTCATCTCCGAAGCCGGCCGGCAAGCAGAATGGGCAGCCCCCGAGCGTGGCCGTTGCCCCATGGGAGACCCCCAGCCCCGTCTGCTGCTGAGGCCGCCTCCCCTCACCGGAGCAGCTGTGGCGCTGGGTGCCAAGGACCAACGTTGATGCAAGCCTTCCAGTCGGAGCCGTGCTCATGCAAAACACCTTGAAACATGGGTTTGGGGGTGGCGTCGCCAGGCCCAGACTCCAGACTCCGTGCAGAACCTGGCCTGAGGTCACGGCTGCCTCGGAGGCCCTGAAACGGCCCAGAAATGTGAAGCTCTGTGGATGCTGCGCATCCCCGGCCGTGGGGTGAATGTGGGGTGTGGGGGGGCCCCGTTGCCACAGCCTCAACTGCCTGCCCCCTGCCCCTCTGCCTCCTGCCTCTCGGGGCGGGAGTCTAGAGCCTTCCAGGAATACTGACCCAGGGAAGAGGGCCCAGGGAGCCCCCTCGGCCCTAGGTGGCCCCAGATGGCATCAGGACCCCCCTCCTCCCCAAAAATGGCAGCAGGGCTCAGGACAGTCTTTCCTGGGCCCGATCAGTTCTCAGAACAGGGCTCACAAATAGGACTTCATTTCCTAAGTTAAGGAAGGGGTTGGAAATAAATGCTGGGGAGGGGTGTCGTCTTCCCAGGGTAGACAGGACGGCCAGCCCGCTGTCCAGTTGCAAGGTCAGCATCACCGGCCCTCAGCCAGCCCTTCCCAAGATGTGGTTGGGGGCCGGGGGGCTCCTCTGGCGGCAGATCCTGTTGCAGAGGGTGGGGTGGGTAGAGGGCCAGCAAGAGGAGCCTGGAGGCAGCAGGCCTGAGCCGAGTCCTAGGGAGGCACCCCCGCCCCCAAGTGACCCCACTCCCAGCGTACAGCTGCTTTTTATCAGAAAAAGGGTGCACTTGAAGCCTCAAGTCAGCCTCCCACAACCAGGTGATTTGACTCGTGCGGACCCACATCTCTGCTGGTTTTGAGACCCCGATGAGCCGACTCCGCCGGCTGCCCCAGTAGGCCCAGTGGGAGGGCTCGGTGGTGTGCTGTTTTGCCTCGTGTTTGCTGCCCAGAAGCTGACTCTGAGGAGGTGTCCCTTGGGGTCCCCTCCCCGGGGGGCACTGGAGGAAAGCTAGCGGCCTCTGCCGGGTTGCCTGAAATTGGGACCAGGAGGCGGGAGTCGGGGGACAGCACCCAGGGAAAGCTCGTGAAGGGTTGGCGCCCTCTTGTTTGTTTACACTCAAGTCATCAAATCGCTCCAAGTGGGCATTACGGCTTCTTCTATGGCGGCGCCTGTGGCTCTGCTGGGAATTGCTGGTTTCACCTGCCCCCTTCTCCAGGGCGCCCGTTTCCCCCACCGCCAACCCAGCTCAGCATCACTGAGCCATCTCGATTCCTTGGATGCTTTACTCAATAAAAACTTGACACCAGAGTATCAAGGACATGATAATTTTTTTTTTTTTACTGCTACCACTATGATTAAAACAGCTCCCCACCCACCCACTCAAGCATAGGGCAAAAAGCACCAATCGCCCCATGGGACCTTTTATTTTGGCTTCATTAGTACCTGAAGAGGCCGTTAAGAAAAATGAAAGCAAACTGGGGTCATTTAAGAAAGATTTTCACCATAATTACAGCGGGGGCACTGGCCATTCGTTCAGTTCCAGGTAGGTCTTCCCCACAGGCAAGCCGCAGTTCCGGTTTCTCTCCGCCCCCGAGCTCACACAGGTCTGGTCTGCCTGCGGGTCTGTGGCCCCCGGTGCTGGCCCCGGGCTCAGGGTGCGTGAGTCTCCGACTTCAGGAAACACAGCCTGGGAAGGCCAGGCCGGGCTGGGCATCCTCGCAGGTTCAGCCTGGGCTTGGAGTCCAAGACGAGGGTCGACGGAGCAGACCCGGCAGCAGGCTTGGCCAACTCCCTCCCCATGTTCAACAGTCCGATCTGGACCAGGACCTTCTGGGCCCCTTCGTGACATGGCCACGGGGCAGGCAGGTGCGCTCCGGCCTCGGAGGAGACGACGGGGCACGTGGGCCCCGGTGACCCTCTGGGAAGCAGGTGCCAGTCTGGGACAGACAGAGTCACAAAGGCTCTCGTCCTGCAAGGTGGTGACCCACAGACCCCCGGGCAGCAGGTATGACCTCCTGGATGGAGCCTCTGCTGGGCCGCCCCCACCCCGTGCTTTCGGCTCAGCCTTTGTCTCATTCAGCAAGCTCAGGGACCAGCTGAGCCTGCCCTGGCCTCGGCTCAGCCGGAAAAGAGCCGCCAGGCTTGCGGGTCTCCCCATCCCGTGTTCCAGGCGGCCCCGCCACCCACAGCAGGGGCGCGGAAGCCCCATCTGTCCCCAGCTCAGAGTCGCCCTTGACGTCAGCGCCCACTGGGTGGTCCCCTGACCACTGACCTTCCTGAGTGGCCTCCCCTGGGGGACAAGCCAGGTGCACCTGGGGTCCGTCCTCACCGGTGCTGAAGGTCGGCTGGGGCGAGGGGCCGGGACCAGACCAGGCCAACCCCCGGTGGCCCTTCCAGAGGGCCTGGCCCTGGGGCCTGGCGGCAGGGGAGGGGGGTGTCCGGCTTGTGGGTGACCTGGAAAGTTGGGACTGAAGCCCCTAATAGCTGTTTCCCGGGGCGCCACCTGCTGCCCTTGACGCAGCCGGGGCTGATGCCAAGACGGGCAGGACGTGAAGCAGCTGGGACTCAGATGGTCAGGGCTGGGAGGCTGAGCTTGTCCATCGGGGAGGGGTCCTGGGCTGTGGCAGCCCCGCCCCCGGCTGGGCTCAGCCCCCACCCACAGTGCCTATAAGGGGCCTGGCCCCCGGGAGCTCTAGGACAGCTCCAGGCACGGGGGACCTGGCCCCCCAGGGCCAAGCCAGCTCCAGCCTCTCCGCAGCCCCTGTGGCTGGGGCTCCTGCCTGAGGGCCGCCCCGTCCCCTCCCCAGGTTGGCCCTGGGCAACCGGACAGGGGAGACGAGCTGCCAGGGCTGAGAGCAGAGTCACCTGACCCGTGAGGGCCGGCGGGGCAGGAACACCCCAGGAGGAAGCGTGGCCCGAGGCGGCCGAGACCTGCCAGGCTGCCCAGTCCTGCCTTTGAGGAGCACCCGGTGGGGGAGCGGAGCCCCTGCCGACCCCTGCACGGGCCCCCGAGCGCAGCCAGGACCCAGGAACATCCTGAAGTCTGTCACACCACCGTCCGCCCAGACCCCTGTCTGCCATGGACAGGACCACAGATTCAACAACGCGCGGCAGACCTGGAGGGGACCCAGAGGGAGACGGGGGGACAGACCCTCTGCCTGCAGGGGGAGACCCCCGACCGCTCCGGGAAACCAGGCCCGAGCAACTTCTGTCTCGCCCACCCGCCCATGTTTCAGCACCCCACTGGCCGCAGACCCTCCACAGTCAGGAGCCCCCACCAGGCAGGAGGGAGCAGAGACCCCCCCGGCCCTCTTGCCGGACAAGCTCCCTTCAGAATCAGCGGGAAAGAACCGGAAGGGCTTCCACCTGATAGATGCTGAACTGGAGGCTCCGAGCGCCCCCGCTCAGCCCCACCCCCCTCCAGGTCGTGCGCTTTGTTTGCCCCGTGCCTCAGTTTACCCAGAACGAGGAGGCTGCCGTGGGGGTCGGGGGAAACCCCTCCCTGGGCCCCGGGTCTCAGCAGTAACTGGGGAACTTACTCAAGCCACCCTCTACATGGAACCTCCCCTCGCCTCGGGAGAGAGTAGGAGTAATGACGACTCAGTGGCCAAGGCCGGGGGCTCCTGCCTGTGCAATGAAAAAGCAGGTCCCAGGACCTGGAGGAGCTTTGGGCCTCTTGATGCCCAGAAGCCGCGGCCTCGACCAGGCCACGATTCACCCAGCCTTGTCCCCGGGGGGCCGGCGCGGGCCAGGGGAGGCGCTGAGCATCCGGGACCCTGAGCCCCCGGCGCGGAGGGCCCAGGCCCGGGCAGTGTGCTAGGAGCCCTCGCGGAAGCTGTGGATCTGGGTGGAGTATTTCTGCAGGTGGCCCTCGGGCGGAACTTCGGGCGCCCCAAGCGCACCCCCAGCCGCCTGCTGCTGCTGCTGCTGATAGTGCTGGTAGAGCTTGGGGCCCGGCCCGTCCAGGCCCGGGAGGCGGCCGCTGGACATGGTCAGGATGGTGGCGGTCAGCGACTTGATGTAGTTCTTGGCCAGTGTGAGGGTCTCGATCTTGGAGAGCTTCTTGTCGGCGCGCACGTGTGGGATGACCTCGCGCAGCGCCTGGAAGGCGTTGTTCAGCTTGTGCATGCGCTGTCGCTCCCGCTCATTGCTCTCTAGCCGCCGCTGTACGCTGCTTTCCCGCCGGCCCCCCGGCCCCGGCCGCCGGCGCCCGCCCTCCGCCCGCGCCCCCTGCGCCCGCGCCGTCCGGCTCCGCAGAGCCTTGGCCGCGTCCGGTCCCCCTGAGCCCGGCGGTGGCCTGTCAGGCGTCCGCTCCGCTGGGGTGGCTTCTGGGTCTTGCGGAGGTGCCCGGCGCCGGGGTGGCCGGCTCTTGGTCTTCATGGCTCCAGACTGGTTGTCCTGCAGGTGGTGGCTCTCAGAGGGGGCGGGCCTTTGGAGCTGAAATCCAGAACACAGGCCACCCCGCACTCACTCAGCAGGCCAGGGGACACTCAGGGCAGCTGTCCCCAAAGGCAGCTGACCGACCACTCATTGCACAGTGACCCCTGAGTCCTTCCCAGTCACCTCGCGGTGCTGAGCTGACCCCACCCCCATCCCCGCGGCCCCGCTGGACCTCACATTGACCCCTCAGACGTTTCCCTGATCTGGTGGGTGACACGCTTTGCCCCTGGGCCTTTCTCTGGCCCCAGGCCCCTCACTGTCGCCTGAGGGCCTCCTGAACTTAGGTGGCCAGTTGGCACTCTGCTGAGACCACCCAGAGGTGCGGCCCCTCCGCCAGAAGCTAAGCTGCCTCCTGCTTGCCCGGATGGCCAGGCAGCTACTCAGCCACCATGCTCGCCGTCCTGCCCCCCAAGACGTCACACACGCAGGGACACTGGTGCCAGAATGGCTGTGGACCTGAGGCGGCTGTCGGGAGGTCAGAGATGGACAGTGGCCAGAGCCCACAGCAGTCCCCAGGCCCACCGCGGGGATGGACAGCCGCGGCCCCGGAGGGAGGCTGCAGACCCGGGCTCCCGACTCAGGTTTTCCCCACCAGTCGCCACCCCGGGTCCTGCCCCAGGACCCTCTCCCCGCCACCCCACCCGAACCCCCACCCCCCGTTACCTGGGATCCGCGGCCGCACGCGCTGGGGCTGCCCACGGGGGACAAGGACACGTCGCTTTAGGCGCCCCGGGCGGGGCGCGGCCGCATGTAAATGAGCCCGCGGGGCGGGCGCGGGGCGGGGCCGGAGTCCGCGAGTCCCGCCCGGCTGCGGGGGGGCGGGGGCGCACCTGCGGGCGGGGGACCCTTGGCCGCCTCCCGGCCGGCCAGGCCCAGAGGAGCTCTGGCCCCCGCAGCCCGGCCCGCGGGTCGGATGGGAGCCCGAGGCCTCGCCGCGAGCCCGCCGGCCCGGAGGGGGAACACCCAGCCGTGCGGCTGTGAGCCAAAGTCAGACTCGTGGAGCAGCCGTTTGGCAGTAATGCTAGGGTCCCCAGCTGGCCACAGCCTCCCCCCGCCCAGCGCCCTCACCCCGAGTTTCGGAAGGACCCCCGCGGTACCCGGGGCTGCGGACCCGCCCTCCGCCAGGCCCGCGGCGCCGGCCCAGGTGCGAGGGGGCGGAGGCTGTCCCGGGGCACCTGCTTCGCCGCCTGGGCGGATCACTGGTCAGCGGTTTTCCTTTGCAGGTCTCCAGGGGCGCGGCCGCTTGAGCTCAAAACGATCTGCCACCTACCTGCTCAGCTTACTCGCCCCTGGCCTCAGCTTCCTCACCTCGGACTGGCGCACTAAAAGGTGTTAACTGCAGCAACTGCCCAGGGGTTCCTGGGGGCTGGAGGGAAGCACGCAGAGGGCAGGCGGTACCCACGGTGGCGCACGGGCGCGGGCTACCAGCCCCTCCCGGCCTCGGGCCCTGCCGGCCCAGGCTTGGCACTGTCCCCGCACGTCGGGGACACTGTCCCTCGCTGCCCCTCTTGGGCTCTCCAAATGGGGGTTCACAGGTCTCTTCCATCTGCTCCCCCACCCCACCCCGAGAGCCACACCGCTGTTGGTGTAACCTGAACCAGGGCCAGACCCCCCATTTTAGTACAAGGAGGCTGACTTCCTGCTGGTGGCAGCTCGGACCAGGCCGTTAACACTCAGGGCACAGAAAGGCTGGTTTTGAGCTGATTAGCCCCTGGGCTTATTAGAGCTCCATAGAGGCTGGCTCTCTGAAACTAAAATGCTTCTCAAGTTCATCCATAAGTGCAAACACTTTGAATTACAGATACACTTTACAACGATGCAAACACTACCTGCCAGTCCCCCGGTGACTATACAAATCCTCGTTCTTGGGAGGCTGGAAGGGGCCGGGTTTAGGCCTGGCACAGCAGAGGGCATCCAGTCTCTAGGGACTTAGGCCAGCAAGGGACCCAGGGCTTCAGGCTCCCGGCATCCTCCAGGGCAGCGCCAGGCCACCCCCCTAGGCCTCACACAGTCGAACACACAGAATTGGTGCAGCAACAGAGTTTATAAATATATAACTATATTTATTTTGAATATTAAATAGTTTTTAAATTACAAGCAATTTATTTGAATCACACTATGCATCAATATACAGTAAAAATCTTACAATTTAAAAATGTACACAATTTAAACTCCAAGTTCATTAACTTGTTATATTGCCGTGAACCTCTTACAACCGAGTCTAAGCACAACAGTGACACCTCGGAGGAGGTGGGACAGCCCCGCGGGTCGTTGGCGGCTGGGATGCAGCAGTCACAGCGGGCTGTGACTGCCATCTGTCTCTGCCTGCGCCAACCTGAACTTAACCGTGTTCCAGCCGTTCACATAACAGGCTGTTGGCGATTCAATACTATCAACACCTCTTTTGAGAACTCACTTATATAACTAAAGAGAGCTTTCCTTTTCGAGAGTCAAAACTTGAGCCAAACCCGCACCCCCCACCCCCAACTTAGGAACATTGTCTCTGAGGGTTTAAATTGGAAGTAACTGTGTACACCCACTCTTGTTTTAAGGCTACCTCTCAGAAGGCTAATCCTCTGAAGCCCCTGGTGATGAAGCCCCCCCATCTGCAGCCTCACACTTGGTTCACTTCTGGAACTTTCAGAAAACCAGGAGCTGCCTCCCTGCTCCCAGGCCCTCAGGACAAACACGCAGTAAGTCATTAACCCCAGACACCCCATGGGAGGTGGTGATAAAAGGAAGAGGTTTTGAAAGGCGTTTTATGGCAGCAAGACAGAGAAAAAAACTTTTCTGAGATAAATCCATTTCCATAGAAACAATCGCCTGCACATTTAAAAATAGAACAGATGGGTTCTGTTCTCCATTCAGCTTCTTAGAGCTTCTTCAGCCTTAAGATGAATGGGTTCTCACCCAGACGTACAGCCCAAGTTTCAGGAGGATTTTGCGGGGGGAGCACAAAATTTTCCTACTCTTCTCTTTCTGGCTTGTGACTGAGTCACTGGATAACACAAGTTAACACCTAGCTAGGAAGGAGATGAAGGAGCGATTATCGTAGGATTTAAGATAGGTGAACTCCACCAAAGTAAGACAGAGCCCAAAGGAAGCCAGGAAATACCGTTGTGAACCAGGTATGATGAACCTCACCGACATCATCTAGAGAATTCCACCGATGTTATTTCACTGCGTAACTGAGAACAAGACTGGTTTAGAAACCCACTACTGGTAACCAACTGAGTGAAACAAAACTGAATCAAACGACAAAGTGTGTGCTGACCTTTCAAAAATGGGCTGAAATTTTTAATCTACATAATTTCCTGTACATCATTTCCTGTGTATTGCTTGAGATTTTCAAAAGAACATGTTAATTCACGTGTTTATTATAAATATAAAATCTTCCCAACCATGCAACACCACACTAAGACCTACTATTCCAACCCCCGCCCCCACCCCCACCCCCCAGTATAAAATGTTTTTGGCAATTTATGAGTGATACAGACCTTAAATTAAAATGGGAATTACGTTGTTAAAATCTCCTTAATCGAAGTGAAAAATGTACAGCCCCAAAGAATCAATAAATTTACCCTGGGCTGACTGTATAAGACTATATATACTATGGATCTGCTTGATTTTTAGTCATTAGAGCTGAACTCCTTAAACCTATAATTTAAAAAAAACAAAACACAAAACTAGTGTAATTGTGTCTCATTTTCTTTCAACCAAGATTGGTAGATGTAAAAATTCAGAACACACAGGAAGTCTCCATAGCAAGAAATTGAGAGTTACAACAGTTTTGGCAAAATCACCTCCTAATGCCCTGTTAACTGTCTTTTTGACACGCGCGTCCCCAGGTCCAGCTTGGCAGTGCACCAGGGTCACACGGGAGAGGGGAGGGGCGCTCCTGCCACCCGGAGTTGGCCTGCTCTGGAAAGTTATTGCTTGTATAAAAAGGGAGCAAGCCCAACTTGATAACAGAGGTCACAATGTACTACGGAAACTCTTGCCAGTGAACACACCTGCATCAGGCCCAATGTCCTGCCCCCAGCCCGGGGCCTGGAGGGTCGTCCCAGTGTCCTGCTAACAGTGGGAAAGCACGTCAGCACGGGAGACCCCAGGGGAGCAGCCAGCGTGCGGGCCCCATGCTCCGGGGCTCCACCGTCCACGCAGGCTGCCATGCTGCGGGCAAAGCAGAACTCAAGGACCGCAGGGTGAGGTCCGCTTTTTATCATGAACGCTGGGCTCCAGCCTACATCACGACACTGCGCTGGACGGGCTCGGTCCTTTCAAAGCAAGTGGAGAACGGGGGCTTAACGCAGAAGGGAGGGGCCAGTGCAGGTGAGCCCGGGGTGATGGCCACTCGGGCCGCCCCAGGCCCCGACAGCGAGGACGTGCTGCCTGTGGTGGCTCTCCGGTGTCCCGTGTCCCCCCTCACGGTCGAGGGGTGTAGTGAGTACCCATGGTTCCAGACACCAGCCTCACCCGGGCGAGACGGGATCCGGACTGGCTCTGGGGGCTGCGAGCAGCCAACTCGAGAGTGCACAGGCAGGAGGAGCCCAGATGGCCCTCGGCACCCAGAGCCCTCGGCGGAGCAGCGTCTGTGCGCCTGAGGGCGGGCGTGAGCACAAGGGCCCCAGGCCACCGCCACCCGAGCTGCTTGGAACCCAGCACAGGGGCCTGGGGCCCTAGCTGGGAGGGGACTGTGTGGCCCCGGGGAGAGCGTGGGGGCCTGGACGTGCCCACTGCAACCAGTTCTGGGAACCACCCGTCGATTTGTACCAAGAAAGTTTTCTGAAAGTCGGGGGAGGGGCGAGTGGGAGAATCACACAGAGGGGCTGCAAGACCCGTCAGCTCCTCGGAGAAGCCTCATCTGCAACAGGGACAGACCACCTTATAGAGAACAGACAGAGATGTGTTTCATTCAATCAACGAAACAGAGCAGTCTTTTTCGACTCATCAAAAGTATTTCCTATAAGAACATAAAACACTAACATTCGGAATCATTTATCATTTACGAAAGAGTACCATATGTACAATTCCAACAATTTCTAAAGACAACATAACACTCAAAATACTTAAGCTTTACGAGTACCATGCAGAGCAAACAAACTATAAAACAGAAGAAAAAAAAATCAAACTAGTGGATAGCACCAGCTTGACCTGCCTTATTTTCCTCGAATAATTTAAGATTCTGTACAGTATCAGGGACTCTTAGGACATTTATCCACAGTGCAATTACAGAAAGCAATTAGTGATTTTTTTAAAAACAATAAATATGGCTCACTGGTGCCAATTCCCCTCGTGGTCTGCAGGGCCCTGCACACGGATGGGACACACAGGTGTGGACGCGGAGGACACTCCACGTGGGAACCGGAAACCACCTGGAGCCCACAGCCTCCACGCCGGCCCTTCCGGTGGGCAGGGGAGGCCTGGGCGGCAGCCGGCGCAGGAAGACTGGCTGGGCACCCGCACCTCCTCCCAGCCTGGGACACCGCCGCCAGAGCAGCCTGGACCCGCGGGGCCTCGGCATCGCCTAGTCTTTCTCTCCGTCTTCGCTGCTTCCTAGGAGAGAGCAAGCAAAGCTGGGTTTTTAAACGGATCGTCAAAGGTAAAAATAGCATGGATGGCGTCTGATCTTCGCTGCAGAAAGAGGAACTGAAGCCAGAAGGGCGGCTCTCGGCCACCTGCCCAGCCGCCTGCCGCACCTGCAGGCGCTCTGGCTGACACGTGTGCGCACTCACACGCGGCTATGTGTCAGAGCTCAGGGCCCCGCACATCTGCCCCAGCAGAGAGGGGGTGATGGCCGCTATCTAATCAGCACAGCAAGGCCCAGGACAAACACAAACAAGCGCTCTTTATGTTTCAGAGTTATTGTTTGATCAGCAAACGTCACATCAGAAAGTGCACCTACTAACCGTTATCTTCCAATCTAGCCGTGGAGGAGAAAAGGCTCCATATGTCCAGCGACCACTCCACGGGCCCTGCCCATTCCCCCTGCCCCTCCCTGAGCCTCCCGGGCCTCCTGGTGTCACACGAAGACCAGGACTTAATGGTAAAATCAACATTCCCGGGAAAGGGCCCCAGAGAATTCGGGCTTAAGGCCAACATCACGGCCAAGTGTTCTTCAGAGCCCTTCCCTCTGGGGGGGGGGGGCGGGGGGGGGGCGGGGAGATGGGAGCTGACAGCAAGAAGGGGAAAAGGAGAAGAAAGGGGGGAGCAGCCCTGGTCCCCCGGCCCAGCGGGGCAGAGACAGCAGGAGGAGGACGACAGGCCCAGGAGCACCGAGCCATGAGCCCTTCAGAGGGATCTGCACGACGCTCTCGGGAACAGCCGCTCAGCTGCGCCCCCGCCCCACGGCCTCCTCACCTCCCTGCTCCATGTCCGAGTCCGTGAGGTGCGTGAGCGAGAAGCTGGCGATGCTGGCGGGGGTGATGGAGAACCTGGAGCAGGGGGCCGCGTGCTGCCAGCTGGGCTCCGCGCTGCGGGGCGGCGGCGGGGAGAAGTACTTGGAGGTCTGAAGGGCCGGCCTGGAGCTGAGGAGGTGGCTCGTCGTCCTTGGCAGGAAAGGGTCTGGGGAGAAGTCGTCGTCCCACTCGAAGCCTCCGCCTGGAAGTAAGCCGGGACTCACCCTCCTCTCGGAGCAGCTGAGCACGGGGCGGGGCCTACAGACCACCCTGTGCGCATGCGCAGGCCTGTGCCGCCCCCGCCCCCCGCCCCCCCACCCCCCCCCACCCCGGGTTGGGGGGGGTCCCTGAAAGGGGTATGTGGGGTCATCCTCAAGAACAGTTCACACCCCGCGGATCTTTAGCTGCGTGCTGAGCTTGCCCCCGAGTGTGGTACCTTCTTCGTCGGTGGAGCTCTCCGAGTTCAGGCCCCGGCTCAGGTGCGGGGAGCCCGCCGCCGGCGCAGGGCTGCTCAGCTCGGGGCTGCGTGCGGCTCCCCCGCAGTGGCCCAGCTCTTTGGTCGGGGTTTCCTGAAAAGCCCAACACAAGTCCCATCAGCGGGGGCGGGCTGGGCAGCTGTGACCCGTGCCTCCCACCCTGGGACGGAGAGCCCACACCCCTTTCCCGCTGGACGGGCTCTGAACCCCCACAGACACGTCAAGTGGCTCCCGGAAGCCGAGGAGGAGACGGCAGCGGGCAGGACGCTGGAGTGAGGATACCAAGCCGGCAGTGCACACAGCCCACCAGCCCGCCCACCGCCAACACTTGGGTTCTGGCTCCAGACGCAGAAGGGGGTCTTGCGATGCTTAGAAAAGAGGAGAGGAAATTCCAGATTTTTCTCTTTCCCCGGTTCTCGCTCCCACCGCCAGGTACCCCAGGGCGGTCAGCTTGTCTCCAGTTGGAGGAGCGAGGGAACCCCACCCCCACCGCCTTTTCCCTCTGTCCTCCGGTCCCCCAGCCTCACAGGGCAGTGTGGTAACCCACACCCCAGCCCTCTGGCAGGAGGATGACAAAGAAGAGGCCCACGACGCCGGAGGCCCAGGGGCTCCATGGGGAGCCGCCGGCTCAGCCCCACTGCGCCGGGCAGGCTTGACCCCAAACAGCTCACCAGGCTTTGGGAGGGAACTGCAGGGGGACCACTGCCAAGGCCCAGTCTGGCCAAGGGGCGGCAAATGCCCAGGACAGGCTCATACAGCACAACAAAGGCTCTGAAAGGGGACCCCAGACCCGGGGAGGCTGGGTGGAACTTGCGCCTTGAACCCGACTGAGTCAATGCCTTCTAAGACGAAAACATCTACATTCTCCATAGAACCCATAAACAAGACAAAGAATCGGAAAATAAAAAAACAAAGGTACAATCTAGAATCACTCAGCAAACAAAGAATAAGGAAAACCTGGATTCACAGGAGAAAGGACAACCAGCAGATAGCAGCGCCAAGCCATCCTCAGACGCGAGAGCCACCTGCAGAAGACCGTCACACACGCTCCCACGCGGTGAGGGAGAGCACGCTGGAGACAGGTGGGCATGTCTCAGCAAAGAGAGAGGATAAAAACAACAAAACGCACATTGTGGAACAGGAAAATACAACAATCAGAATTTAAAACCTCACTGGCTGGACTCAACAGCGGGATGGAGGCGAGAGAGGACAGGATATGTGCATGTGACATACATCATCAGAAACGGTCCCACCTGAACAAGGGCGAGAGCAGAGACTGGAGGGGAAGCCAGGGGTGGAGCCTCAGGGCCTACAGACTAGTGATTCGGTCACTAAGTTCTGTCCAACTCTTTTGCGACCCCATGGCCTGTAGCCTGCCAGGCTCCTCTGTCCATGGGGTTTCCCAGGCAAGAATACTGGAGTGAGTTTACAATTTCCTCCTCCAGGGGATATTCCCAACCCAGGGATGAAACCCACACTTCCTGCATTGGCAGGCGGGTTCTTTACCACTGAGCCATCAGGGAAGCCCCTATATCCTAGAGACCAAAAGGCATAACACTGGAGTCCCAGAAGCAGAGACAGAGTGTGGAATAAAATATATGTGTATGTAAGAAATAATGCCTGGAAACTTCTGAAACCTGCTGAAAGATACAAAACTACCAGTTCAGAAAGCTCTACAAACTTAAAATGAAACAAAGAAATCTATGCCTGTAATCCAGAAACCCATAATCATACTGAAAGACACAGACGGACTCCTGAGGGCAGTCAGGAACAATGCTGAAAGTAAAGCACTGTGGCCTGAGAAGCCCATGCTCAGGAAAAACATCCTTAGGAAATGAGTGTGAAATACAGAGACTCTCAGATGAAGAAACACCAGGAGAATTTGTTAAAAAAAAAAAAAAAAAAAAAAGCCAAACAAACAGAAGGGAAATGATAAGAGAAAGGAACCTGGAAGATAAGAAATGGAAAAAGAACAGTGATAACTACCTGAGTGAATATAATCCTATTCCTCTTCAGTTTCTTTAGTAAAAGGCGAAAGATTTATACGATCTGAAGAGAAACCAGAGTATCCTCTTCAGTTTCTTAAAATATGTTTGATGACTGGAAGTAAAGCATAGAGCGCTGTGTGATGGGGTGTTCAATGAGGAAACACATCGGACAACTTGAAGAAAAGGTCTAGGAGAGGATGAAGGACCTAGAGAGCAAAGAGGTTCCTACATTCCACTTGAAACGGTAAAACACTGATTCTAAGGAGGCTGTGGGAAGTATGTACATTGTAACCCCAAGAATACTCCAAAAACTATACGAAAAGAAGATATATAGTAAAAAATACAATAGATAAAAGATAAGACTAAAAACTGTTCAAATTACCAAAAGGAAAGCAAAAAGAGGAAGAAAATAATTAAGAACTAGTGGAACAAACAGAAACACTGAATAAAGTGGTGCACCTATATCCAAAGTTGAATAACTCTATTAAATGTAAGTGGCCTAAAAATACCAATTAAAACACAAAAGGGAGAAGGAAATGGTAACCCACTCCAGTTGGTTACCTGGGAAGTCTGGACAGTGGAGCGTGTCATGCTACAGTCCATGGGGTCACAGAAGAGTTGACATGACTTAGTGACTAAACAATGAACAGAAAGACAAAAAATTTCAGAACATATTTTAAAAACCACCTAACTGTGTGCTATCCAGAAGAAACTGCTGTTAACTACAAGGATGCAGATAATGTATAAAGATGGAAAAAAGCGACAGCACATAATTACTAGTCAAAAGAAAGCTGGAGTTGCTTTATGAATATCAGACAAAGGAATAAAGAATGACATTACAGAATGACACAAAAGGTCAATTCACCAAGAAGATATAATAATTTTAAAAGTGTACACAGCTAACAAGAGAACTATGAAACAGACAAAGCAAAAATGGACAGAAATGAAAACAGAAACAGACAAATCTGTTTATATAGCCGAAGACTTCAATGAACACTTCTCACTCAGGCATAGAACAAGTAGAAAAATCAGCAACAGTACAGAAGAAATGAACCAAGTGCATGTGACATTTATAGAACAATCCACCCACCAGAAGTGAAATACACATTTTCAGGCGCACATGGACCAAACATTTACCAAGATAGACCATATTCTGGCTCTACAAACAAAACAACACATATGAAGGAATTGAAACCCTACAAAACACATTCTCTGACCAAAACAGATTACACCAGAAATCAGTAACAGAAAGGTTAAAAAAAAAAAAAACAGAAAAACTCCAACCCTTGGAAATTAAACAGTATTTTTTTAAAAATAAGTAATCCTTGGGTCAAAGGGAAAGTCTCAAGGAAAATCAGAAAATATTTTGAACTGAATGAAAAATGCAACTTATTGCATTAAATATTAATAGCAGAATGAAAAAAAGGTCTCAAATCCCTTGCTTATACTTTAAGAGTCTAGAAAAAGAGCAAAATAAATCCAAAGCAAGCAGAAGAAATAAAAGATAAAATAGAAATTGATAAAATTAAAAGGAAAACATTCCATGAAACCAAAAGCAGTTCTTCAGAGAGAGATCGTAAGTCCACACAGTCTCTTCCCAGAAGAGGAGGTGATGCAGTTGACCCCTGACTGATGCCCACGGGGCGAGGGCCCTGATTCCTGTGGAGCTGAGGATCCCCCTGGAACTGTGCCGTCGCCCCTTGATATCCAAGGTTCCACATTCACAGATTCAACCAATCTTGGATCCTGTAGTACTTGGTAGGTGTTTAGTGAAAAAACCCACATGTAAGTGGACCCACACCATTCAAACCTGTGTTATTCAATCGACTGTGACTTTCCAACTCGCTTTATGAGACCAGCATTACCTTGACACCAAACCAAAGACAAAGCAAGAGTAAAAGTCAGCCAAGTAGTCAAACACTCCCCAAAATTACAGGCCGATATGCAGACCTCATGAAATCCTCAACAACATACCAGCAAAGCAAATCCAGCAACATGTAACAAGAACATTACAACCAAGTGGGCTTTACTTTCCAGGAATGCAAGGCTCATTAAATATTGAAATATCAATCAATGTTATGTAACTGCTCTATTGAACACTGTCTTGGAAGTCAGTGTAATAAGGTAAGAAAAAGAAATGAAAGAGATACAGTTTGGAAAAGAATAAACAAACCTGTCCCTATTTGCAGGTAACATGCTTGATTGTGTAGAAAACCACAAGGAATTTGAAAACAAAATTCCTAGAACTGATAAATCAGTACAGCAGGATGGAAAGTCAACATATAAAAATCAACCACATTTCTGTATACTGGCAAGGAGCAAATGGAAACCAAAATTTTCGTAAAGGGGAAGATATACAGATCAATGGAATAGAGCAGAAAGTCCAGAAACAGATCCATTAAAAATATGGCCATTTAACTTTTGATGAAGGTGCAAAAGCAATTCAATGGATAGAGAATAATCTTTTCAACAGATGGTGCTGGAACAACTAGACATCCATCCAGAGGCAAAACAATGAACCCCAACCTAAACATTATACAAAAACTATCTCAAAACGTGTAACAGATATAAATGAAAAATGCAAAACTGTATAAAACTTTTAGAGAAAATATTCTGGAGTTAGGGTTTGGTGAAGAACTTAGACATGACAGGTAAAGCATGGTCCATAAACGGAAAAAAAAAATTATAAACTGGAATCCATCAAAATTTAAAAACCTTGCTCTGTGAAAGATAAGCCATAGATTGGGAGAAGTATTTCCAAGCCATATATCTGACGAAGGACTCTTATCTAGAACTTATAAAACAAAGAACACAGAGAATTCACCTAGAAAATGGGCAAAAGGGGCACTTCATTGAATAAGACATATGGATAGCAAAGAAGCACACGAACAGACAGGCAACATCACGATCCAACAGGGAAATCCAGTTTAAGACCATGATGAAGTATTACTTCACATCTGTTAGAAAAGCTAAAATAAAAAATAATGGGGACTTCCCTGGCAGTATAGTGGTTAAGACGCGGTGCTTTCACCGCCACAGGCCTGCATTCGTTCCTTGCTTGGGGTACTAAGATCCCACAAGCCGCATGGTGCAGCCAAAACAAAACAAACAAAACACGAGAAACTAGGTCTCACATATGCTGTCTGGAATGTAAAATGATACAGCCACTCTGGAAAAGTTTGTCATTTTCTTTAAAAACTAAACATGCACTATAAATCAACTGTTGTTATTGCTCAGTCACTAAGTTGTTGGTCAACTCTTTGCAACCCCATGGACTGCAGCACACCAGGCTTCCCTGTCCCTCATTATATTTCAATTTAAAAAAAAAAAGCGCCTAAACACACACACTTATCATACAACCCAACAATCACAGTCATGGGCCTTTTCAGAAAAATTAAAAATTGTGTCCACACAAAAACCTACAAACAGTTGTTCAAAGCAGCATTATCTGTGACAGCCCCAAAGCGGAAAAACCAAAATGTGCTTCAGCGGGTAAATGGTTAAAACGATCATATGTCTACAAGATGGAATGTGTCTAAAAGGAAGGGACTACTGCAACAAGCAACAACTTCTACAGCTCTCAGAGGAATTACACTCTGAGTGAAAACAGTCAGCCTCCGAAGGTTACATGCTGTGTCACTACGCTGCTGGTGGGAATGTAAAATGATACAGGGGTGATTGGGGTGCAGGAGTGAGCACAGGGCGTTTTCTGGGGTGAGGGAGCTGTGTCTATCATGGTTCTGCGGAGGGTGACATGAATGCTAAAGTTTACAGCATTGTACACACACACAAAAAAAGGTCCATTTTACTGTTTAACTTTTAAAAAGATTAAAAACAATTAAAAAATAATAATAAAAACAATTGGGTGTAAATATTGGCCAGCAGATTAACGAACAAAACGTAACACCCACACAAAGGAATGCTCCACAGGGATGAATACAGAGCATGGGGGGGGGACTCCCTGACTCTTTACAGAGTGAGGCTCTGGACACACAAGGTCACACATGGTCTAATCCCACCGCTTGGCCTTCCCCGGCGGCTCAGCCGTAACGGACCCGCCTCCCAGCACACACGACATGGGTTCCATCTCTGTGTCGGGAAGATCCCCTGGAGAAGGAACTGGCCACCCACTCCAGGATTTGTGCCGGGAAATCCCGTCGACAGAGGAGCCTGGTGGGCTACACTCTATGTTATAAAAGAGTTGGACCTGACTTAATGACTAAACAACAACAACACCCCTGCCACTTACACGATTCTAGAAAAGACAACTCCAGTGACAAAAGCAGGTCAGTGGTTGCCAGGAGAGGGATGTGGCGGGGACTTTGTGGGGATGGAAGAGTTCTATTCTGGAGGGGGCAGTTATGGAGAGCGCTTAATTTCGTGTGTTGTGTGTGTGTGTGTGTGTGTGAAATGGTAGGAATTACAGACAAGTTTTGTTTTCTTGAATGCTTTTCAGCACATAATTTCTGGTGTGTGTATGTAAATGAAGTGGTAGCAATTACTGAGAAGTTTGGTTTTCTTGAGTGTTTTTCTGTTCTTTAAATTGAAAAAAAATTTTTCCCAAGAAAGTATTTTTCCTATGCTCACTGCATTTTTTTTTTTTTGAAGGAACATGTCCTTGTAAACCGAATGAACTAAAGAAACGCAGCACACAGACCCCCAGATCCCTGTCTGCCCCAGGACCTCACAGACTCTGGGGGCTCTGGGCTGTGACACCACCTCCCACACTGTCGGCTGGGCCCTGTCGCCATAGTGACCAGCGCCAGGACGCATGGGCCTAAGCTCAGAGCTCACCTGTCCTGTGACAGGCTGAATGGTGTGACCGTATGTCACCTGACCTGCAAGTAAGCATCACCATTCACTGTGATGGCCGAGAGAACACTGTGAGTCCGGGACAGCGGGGGCGGGGTGGGTGGTGCCCAGAGCAAGAGCCGAGGGTCAAACGCGCCCACCAGGCTCATGGAAGGGCCTGTGAGGAACGTGGGGAGACCCCCGCTGCGTAGCGAAGCCAAGGAGACCCTGCTTGGAAAGGGCGGCACCCACTCACTTGGGCTGTGACTTCACAAGAAAGCTGAGTAAGTGCTCACCAAGCACCTGCTGAACCAACGGTGAAATAACCAAGGCAGAGCTGCCAAAACCCATGATGCTCAGTGAAAACTCCGGAGCTTAGGAACTTAAACCACTTAAAAACCAAACCACTTCAAAACAGGCTCATGAAGCTGGACAGCAGAAGGAGGAGGGAACCTGCCGGCCAGCAGCCTGAAGCCACAGGTAGCTGTGACTCCACGGAAGCTGCATGGGACCCACTGGCCACTGCAGGAGCTTTTCAGGACTTTACTTGGGACTTCGCCCATGTTCCCACTTTCACTGTGATAAACCTCACATCTAGTAAGATCTTCAGGACTTTGTTCGGGACTTCGCCCACATTCCCACTTTCACCGTGACAAATCTCACATCTGTTAAGCATGCCGTACACTTGATTTCCGTGCCTTTGTTCTCATGCCTTGAGTCTGGCTCTCAGGCAATCCTGCCGGCTTCTGAACCCATCAGAACAACACCCCCTCCCCACCAAGTCCCCACACAAGTGCAGCCCTTCCATAGCCCAGGTGGCGGCTTCCACGGGGGCGGGGTCCACCTCAATGCTCCAGAGACCCCCAGACATCTTCCCCAGTGCCTGCCCACACTGCTCACAACACACAATTCATAACTCTTTCTATTCCACCAACAGGTCATCCGACCTGTGAAAGGCACAGTTCAAGTGCGCTGAGAAGATGAAGGAAGGGACACGTGAATTTGAACAGCTTTTGACAAAACACAAAGGCTGAGAGCAGGCGATCCCTGCCCGCCCCGCCCCGCCCCGCGGTCTCGCCAACCCAGCCCTGCTCCACAGGCACCGCCACTGTCCGTGTCTCCGGGCTACATGTGAGCCTCGGAAGGTTCCAGCCGCCCCGGGGTGCTGGGCGTTGCGGCCGACCGCCCACGGACACTTGTCTGCTCTGGAAAGGACGAGTGATTCAGCAGGGCTCTGCCAGGACACCCAGGAGGAGCCCACAGACCCTTCCCCTTCACGTGACAGGAGTTCCCAGTGCAAACCTCGCTTCTGCGTGTTCTTGAAACTGACATGGTAACCACCCCCAAATTCCTTTTTCTGAGAAAATCACAAAACAATTGGTGTCCTCGGAACGGCAGTCAGAAAACCCGAGCACACTCATTTCCCCGACACATGCTGGAATCTCCAACATGACAACCCAGAGGGGACAGGGAACAGATACCTGGTCAAAGAGATAGACTGTGACGTCATCGAAAAACGTCACCGCCTTCCTCTCCCTCCTCCAGCCAGGCGGTGGGTCCACGGGCTTCAGCAGGCTCCGCAGGCAGCGGCCGTCCTCGCGGCTGAGGACGACGGGCACCGGGTGCTCGGCCTCGTCCTCAGACTCGGAGCTCAGGCTGTGCAGGGTGAAGGCCCGCAGGTCCTCGTCCGAGTCTTCGCTGTTCTCGTCCTCCTCATCGGCATCCATCCCATCCTCGGCGAGGTCCAGCATCCCCGACACGCCGAGCTTCCCCAGGTACTTTCCCTCCACGTCCGGCTCCTTCAGCTTGGGGCCCTCAGAGTGGCCACACAAGGCCTTCTCGTCTGTCGGGGCCGCAGGGCCGCCGCAGCGGAGAGGGGCGTGGGTCAACGCCAGGAGTTCATCAGTGTTGGTGCCAGTGGAAGTCAGCATGCAGGGGGGATCCTCGGGGGCCTCAAGGTCATCCCCGCTGCTGAGCTCTGAGTTCTGCAGACTCGAGGGGCTGCCAGCCTCGTCGTCGGGGGGAAGTATGTGTGTGGGAGCTGGTTCTGTAGGTTCTCTGGATTCCAGGTGACGGGAGTTCTGCAGAGCAGGAGGACAGCTGGGGTCAGGCGGGCTGCTGCTGGCGTCCAGGCAGCTGGCCAGGGGGCCAGGACTCTGCGGCAGGACACTCTCGGGCAGGGGCTGGTCGGCTCCTAGGGCCAACACCGAGGTGCCCAGGGCCCCCTCCGACCTCCTGTCGGGCTCAGAGTCGTTGTCCGAGAAGTACGCGGAGTCTCGGTGGGAGCCCTGGGACGCAGGCGCGGCAGTCTGTGAGGTCGCCTCCGCACCTCTGTGGCCGTCAGCGGCGTCTGAGATGACGATGATGGGCTTGGGAGGCAGCCTGTCGGGAGTGCCCTCACGCGCTGAGGCCGTGTCAGGCGCCGCGGCGCCCTCAGGGGCCACGTGCAGCGTCCACTCAGGCGACTCCAGGTTCTCTGTCTCGTAGCCACTGTCCGCTGGCTTGTCGGGGGTCAGGAGTTTCTGTGGCGTGTGAGGACCTAAGGAGCCCAGTAAAGCCTCGTGGACGTCCACCGAATCCAGGGAGTCCGGGGTCTCTGCGGACGGCTCGGAGGTGGGGATGGGCGCCGACAAGCTGTCCTCCAGGAGGCTGTCCTGACTGGCCGAGTCTGAGGAGAGGGCGGACACCAAGCCGCCCTCCTCTGCAGCAGCCTCTTTACGACCCAGTTGCCCCAGCACCTCCGCAGCCTCCCGGGCTCTCTCCCGCAGGCCTCGAGGGCCGTGGTCTTCCAAAGGCAGCTGGTTTTTTAAGTTCTGCCTCAATTCCGGAAGGCCGTTCCCTATACTCACCTTGCTGGCGGAGGTGTCCTGGACCAGGCTGGGGTCGCTTTGGGTCAGGCTCACGGCCCCCTCCCCCTGCTGAGTCAGGGCCGGGGACCCGTCGCCGGTGGGGGCGGGGGTGTCCGGTGGGGCGGGCGTGGAGTCCGCGTTTACCTCTCGGCAGGCGCCGTCTTCACGGACACCGCCCTCTGGACACGTGGGCCTGTCTTCGCCCTGCTTCAGGGCTACACCCGGGGGCACTTCGTGAGGCGGCCCCTGGGTTTCAAGCGAGGTAGGAGGAACCTGCGGCTGTGGGGAGCGCGGTGAGGCTGCCACCCCAGAGCCACCCTTGGGCACTGCGCCTGACTCCCTGCCCTGCACGCTGACGCTCTCCTGCAGCGAAGAGTCTGGTTTACTTTCAGCAAACTTAGGCTCAGCCTTTACAGACTTTCTACTGGGAGTTTCTAACATGTATTCAGGAAAGCCAGCATTTCTGAGTTCTGTCTGCAGATCATTTACATGCTCTTTGCTGGACAAGGAGTCTTTCAGTAAGTTCTTCTCTTGAAGAAACAAAAAATTTTCTGACAACTCTTCAATGTCCAGCTGATCAAAACCATCTTGGTGTACGAGCTTGTCTGTGGAGTAAAGAGGCTCGCAGTCAAAAAGCTTATGGGGCTGTTCCTTCTCCAAGTGGCGCGCAATTACTGACTCTTTGGGGTCATCCAAATTTGAACTCAGGGTGGGCGGCTTAAAGTCAGCCTGGACTCCATTTAGTTCCATCAAGTCAAATATTTTTTGGTGACTGGGCAGAGCCTCTGACTTGTCAAGGTCATTAAATAAACTGTTGAAAGGGCTCTCGGGGCCCTTGGTGCTGTGGGCCTCCTCGGGTCTGCTGGCCTCTTTGGGGTCTGCACTGTTCTGGAAGAAATCCTCCTCTGTACTGGACTCCTCAAGCTCCAGGCTCCTGAGCGTCGGACACTGGGACGCGCTGTCCCCGAGCCTCTCAGGATTATCCATCTCTGTCGTGAGCAGAGTGGGCGGGTAATCTAGGTCCAAGTTGCTACGGCTTTTTTCTTCTAACTGGATGTAGTAGTCGCTTCCAACAGAAAGGTTGTGGGCATCGAAAACGGGCACCACCCCAGGGGCCCGCAGGGGGACGTCCTGGCCACCATCATTCTGCTTGCCAGGACCGGGGTCTGAAAGCGAGCTCTCGAACGCTTCCGTGGGAAAGAAGATGCTGGTGTAGGACAAGGCTTCATCCGGGGGGCCTCGGCTGCGCTCGTCGAAATGGTCATGCTTGGCAGCCTCCCAGACGTACTCGAAGCTCAGGCCTTGGCTGGTCTCGGTCACGGTGAGGACCTCCTCCATCTCTCGGCCAAGCCGGTCCCTGGTGAAGTGGTCGAGGATGGGGAAGGCAGCGTTACTTGCAGCATCTCTGCTGTTTGCATTGGGCTTGAGTGCATTCCACTGCTGCTCAAAGTCCACTTCCGGGTCCCTCTGGCTCTGCATCCGCAGGTAGGTGAGCAGCCTGTGCACGTCCTCCGCTGCTGGCCGCTTGTCTGGTGACAGCCAGCAGAACTGCAAGACTTCATACCTGAGCAAGACGGACAGGAGATAAGTGGACAGATGACAAATAGTTTCAAAACAAGCAAAGACCTCACAAGGACCCCCTAGGCCAGCTCAACACCCCAGAAGTCCCGACACTTAAATCACTTTGCTGGCCACCAGCAGGAGTCTGGTTCACGGTGAGCTCTCGGGGAAAGTGGAAATGGAGAGAGAATCTAGCCACTGATTTTCTGCATCCTCAGGACACCGTGTAGCGTCACTGCAATTCTTCTGGCCTGGTCGTTTGTTGTTCTGGCGTTTTCCAGGCGCTCAGCCACTGAATTTACAAGCAGCCCTAAGATGCTCTCCTCTGAACACAACCGCCATCGGTCTCCTGCTTAGTCAAGGATACACGTGTCTGACGTGTGAGACTCACTCTATTCGGTGAGGACTCACGCAGACACACACCATGAGGACTACTCTCCGACTCCCCCGACAGAAAGGAGCAGCACAACCTTCTGCAGCACATGCTTCCCTCAGGCCACCAAAGGAGCTGAGGGTGGAGGGCAAGAGCAGAAACAGAAGCCCAGAGCAGGTGGCAGTCAGGGGCTGGTCTTCAAAGGGTTGGCTGAATAAGGCCAACGCCTTAAACTGTGGCCGTGAGTGGAAGGGAAGACAGAATGACAATGTCACGGTAGTAAATTTACGGCATAAACATCCAGTTATTCTGGGTGAGTTAGTTCTAGCAAGTCGGGTGAGGGGCTGAGCAGCGCCCACACAGAAGGGCATCAAGGTGCAGAGGCAACGCAAGCCGAGTACAGGGTGACGCGGACAGGGGCCTCGGCATGGGTGAGCCCGGCTCTAACTGGAAACCGAGTTAAGAACGGGTCTGGAGACTCTTAAGAAGTAAATTTGTTTTGCAAATGTCAACACACATTATGCAAACTGTCTCAGGTGCCAATTCAAACTCCATCACGTCTATGCTACCTATCTGGTCACACACGCCGGGGTATCACACAAACAGCCTCGTTCAAAAACAACTCCACAAGAGCACACGCCCTTAAACTGATTCTTAGAATTAACTCAGATGTAACACGTTTCTTATCACATGTAAGACATAAATTCCTGCTGGTTCTACATAAAAAAAAACAAAAAGAAAAAACAGCATTACATCTTAAAAACTGGACGTTAATTCTAAAATCAGTCATGATAGTATATAAATGGTTGCTTTTCATAACATTTACTGTTGAAAATCAGGGAATATATAGCTAAGACCTGTGGAGACAGAATTTCTCCACCTTCTGAGATAATGTGACATGAAGTTACCCACCATCTGTCGGAGTAGGGCTGCTCCAGCTGGGGCTTTGGGAGTTTTGTGTCTCTCTCTCGAATGACCTGGTTGAGCACATCTAAGTTGGAGAGGCTGGAATAAGGCTGAGCAGCATTCTCAAAGAGCTCCCATAGCGTCACACCCAGGGACCTGCGGGGGAATAAAAAAGCACATCTTTCTCTCTTCAGATGCTGAATTTTTAACACCCACATTTTTACATGTACAGTCATTAGTCATTTCAAGCACAAGGGTCTGAGGAAGAGGTTATTCAAGATAGCTCTTCAACATGATTTAAAAAGCAAGCACTTCTATTAAGATGCGGACCACAACAAGAACACCTCCTCAGACTGACTAACAGAATGTTATTTTAGGAGTAAAATGAGATGGAGCTAGAGGGAGTAATCACAGGGAGGCATTCAAATGACTGTCAACTTTAAAACTCAAGGAATTATAAAGGATTATCATCACAATGGCCTTGAAAGGGTTCAGCAACATGGCTAGATACAGGGTAAACACATGGACTTCTGAGGGTTTTAGTAGGGGGGAAAAATCCCATTCACAACAGTAGTAAGCAGTGGAACTTCCAATATGAACAGGTCTTCCCTATTGACCTGTGTGTTTCCTATTGTAGTTGTTCTTAGTATTCAGGGCTTTCTGCTATTAGGAAGGACAACTCTTCACTGCTCGGCGGAAGAGGCAGCCTGCCTGGGTCACTCACCACCTGCAGGTGCCATCACCACAGGCAGGGACCACCTTCTCGGTAACTGCCCCGCCCGCCCGCGAGGTCCCGCCCGGTGCCGACCCTTCGGAAACAGCCTTTGCTGGGGGCGGGGGGGCGGGGTGGATGCCTCCTCTACGTGGTCTCCACGCTCTATGTGGTCTCCACGCTCCTTCCCACCACTTTCCCTTCGTCCTGTGTTACAGTCTGTCTTCTGCAGTGGCTCCTAGACCTGGCAGATCACCTGTGTCACCCAGACGCTGGTACTGAGCACCCACCCCTGAGGACTTGGTTGGCAGATGCAGGTGTGGCTGCATGCTTAAAAAGCGCCCATGTGACTGTGACTCCTGTCAGGTTTAGCTGTCGATGGTTCGCATGAAGATGCCTGATACCTACCAGAATAATAAGCTGTATTTGAATACATCAATCTATTATTTGACACTGCACAGTACAATATAACTTATGAGTTAAATTCTCTTTATGCTCATCTCACAAATCAGTAAGTAAATCAACATATTCAGTATCTAAGTGGAGAGGGCATTTCTATCAAGGAAATAAAAGAACCCGAATCTCTAGTCCAGTTCAAGAAGGACAGAACTGCTAGGAGCAGAGGGCTGTCTTGGATTAAAAAAGAAGTTTAAGACACTGTCAGCGACTTTAGGGAATTACCAACTTATTCGATTAAGGAAAATAAAAAGTTTGCATGAAATGCTAAAGACCACAAAGGCAGCCTCTGACTGGGACACAGTGAGTGTTATCTGCACCACGACTGGTTTGACCCCGGGCATATACCTCTGCCCGCCTCAGTTTCTCCAGATCCCTGACGCCCTTTCTCTCCCCTCACAAGGCCTGCTCCTGAACCAGCCCTCTCCTCAGAGAACATGAGGCCCGGCTGCCTCAGCCCCCGGCTCCTGACACCTTTCTCCAGCATCCGTCGTGCGTCTCCTCACGCAGACCAGTGAGGAAGACGAGACGTGTCCCCCGCCTCGAGGCCCACCCTGCAGCTCCCTATTCCCTCGCCTTTCTGCCCAGTCTCCTCAGGAAGAGCGGTATCAGCCACTGCCCATCATTCCCTGTCTCTCTAAAGACCAGTGGCCTGCTTTCTTCTGGGAGGAAAAATGTCCCGTAGCTCTTCTCCCCTCTTCCACCAAACTCACGGGGCCAAGACCCTCAGGCTCGTCCCCAGCACAGGGCAGCGTGGTCCCCGCCTCAGGCAGAAGCTGACACCACTGCCAGCCCTGCTGCCAGACACTTCTCACCCCATCAGAAACAAGGGGCAGCTCTGTCTCTGGGAACACAGGCTAAGTCTTCAGGTCAGTCACCCAGCTGAGAGCAGTGAAAGTATGGATCATGAGTGAAAAGCAACTTCTTATGAAACACATCAAACAACAGATAAGCTAGTGGGGAACTCACTGGACAAAATCTGGGCTTAGAGGACAAAGGAGAGCACCACACCACGTCTGACCGTGGCCCCTGCTGGGGCATGGAGCCTGGGCGTCTGCATCTTTGGTGAACAAGGCTTGATGGTGGACAGGCCAAGCCCTGGCCCTGCCCAACAAGGGGCCTCACAGAGACCTCCTCATCACAGTGGGAATAAACCCACCCCTCAGGAGCCTGGGGGGCAAGCTGGCTTGGCACTGAGGCCCTGTGAGTGAGTGCACGTGTGTGACTGTGAGTGTGTGTGAACGTCTGTGTTGAGTACACATGTGTGTGTGTGTGCCTGCAGGGGGAGTGGGGTAGTGGACGGTCCCAAAGAAGCTGGTCACAGAGCCGGCCTTACTGGGATTCACAGCCCAAGCTCATACCGTCTAAGTGACCCCAAGACCTCAGGCTAAATAGAGAAAGCCCCAGGCTGCTGTTGTCCCTGACCAGCCAGGACACCCAGAAGCCTGACAAAAGCACGCATGTACCCTCTCTGAAGGAATGTTCTCAAGTCCAGGCTTCCAGGATCCTCACCATAAGAAGGCCCCAAGGAAACAAGGTACCGTCAAGAACCAGGAAGGTCAAATCCACAAAGACTTCACATTTGGGAATTATCTGATGTAGATCATAACCAAATTTTAAAAAACTCTGGGACAGTTTTTTAAAAAATCAAATAGACCTCCTAAAACAGAAAAGCCAATTAACTGAACTATAAAATTCAGTAGAGAGATTTAACAGAGAAATAGACACAGCTGAAGAAGGAATTTTAAAAAGACCAAGAATTAGCTGCTAGAGCACAGGTCTGAAAGGGAGTTGAAGAGATGAAATACATAAAGGAGAGAATAAGAGACAAAAGACAAAGCAAGAGGTCATGACGCATGTCTAATCTGACTTCCAAAAGAAGAAAAAATGGGGCTGAGGCAGTTATTGGGAGGGTAAGGGCTGAGAGCACCCACCTAAGATATGAAAAGCCAAGCAGAAAAACAAAGTCCACACCCATACTTATCACAGTGAAACTACAAAAAATCAGAAGACAGAGAGAAGAGTTTAAAAGCAGATAGAGAGAAAAAGTCACGTTACCTTTAAAGAGCTTAGGGAGACTTACAGCTGACTTCTCAAGAGCAACAATGGAAGCCAGAAGACAGTGGAGTGAGATCCTCAATACACGGAGAGAAAATAACTGTCATCAAGTAAAAAAATACACTTCAAGAATGAGGACAAAACAGAGGTACGTGCAGACCTACAGAAAAAGACCTGAGAGTCTGTTACCAGTGAGACTACACTACAGGGAATTCTGAAGGCCATACTTCAGACAGAAGGGGACTGAGCCCCGACAGAAGGCCTGAGATTTGGGGGAAAAAAAAAAAAAGCAAAGTGATCTGATTATGCTGGATAAACCTAAACAAACACTGATGTTAAGAAAAATAACATCTTGTGGTGTTAAGAGAAAAAATACGATACCTCACAATGATGAACATAATTGCGTGTGTGTGTGTGTGTGTGTGTGTGTGTGTGTGTGATGTAAAGTTAAAGCACGTTAAAATACCCTGGGGTCCTTGTATTTCTCAGAAAGGGGCCAAAGTAAGAACTACTGTTAGACTAAGTTAAGTATACATGTTATTTCTACAGTAGCCAATACAATCATAGCAATAGAGTACACAGCTCCCAAACTATGAGGAAAAGAAAAAACAATCCATAAGAAGCTAAGAAGCAAAAAAAAAAAAAAAAAAATAGAAATAGAAAAAGCAGGACAACAGCACCCCAAAAAAAGTAGATATAAATTAAGAAAGCTATAACAGAAACTGTTAGTCAAAGACTTCTTACATTTTTTTTCAACTTCCATTAAAGTGAGCTATATCTCAGTACTATGTAATGGTCCAAACCTCTTTCAGTTTTTCAATTCACTCAATTAATATTTATTAAACATCTATAAAAAAGGTCCTATAGTAGGCAAAGAAAATAGCTTTGGTTCCTGCTTTTATGAAGATTATTACTGTTGAATGGGTAGAAGTTATTGCATCACTGCAAAAACTGGAATCATTACTATGATGTCAATAAACTGTCTTTCACATCATCAGTCACTGGTATTCCTACATCTTACTCAATTATACTTTCCCTTAAGAAAGTACTTGAGAAGAAAGAAGTTAGGACTTTGTTAATAACAAAAGCCTAATCGAATGGTAAACCAATACATACCAGATATTACTATATTTGGTTTGTTCTGCAGTTAGCAGTCTGTCTTGAAAGCTGGTTACTAACTCTGGAGCAGTCCACCGAAGAGGGAAAAGCTTTTTATCATCCGTCTCAATATAATCCTCCTGTTTTGTAAGAAAGCACACAGAATTCTGAATTCTCTATAACACTTCATGTGAGCTCAGTTACTTAATCCCAGGTCATTCTCAGAAAACACATACTCTACCCAAAAACACAAGTCAGAAAAAGAAATGGACACAAGAGACAGAGTTTCCGGGCAGAGGGTGGGTTGAGGGTTTCTCTGAATCAGCCTCCTGGGCCTCATGAGCTGGTCTCTGAACCAAGAACACCTGCTCAGTCACCCTTCCTGGAAAAGGAAGGTACGCCATGTCTGTCACAGAACGCAGACTCTGAGCAAAATACCTTGTAAACTATGCTGGGCTGTATCCCTGAGCAGAAGAACAGGGTGGTTAATGAGTAAGAGCGCAGGCTTTCGAATTGGACAGGCTGGCTGAGTCAACGTTCAACCAGCTACCAGCTCTGTGACTCTGAGCAAGCAGCAAACATGCTGAGCCTTCTTCCTGACTCGTAAGATCAGGAAGATGCACCAGCCTTCCCTTTATGGTCAGGATTACATGAGATCATGTGGGCAAGTACTTCACAGAGCCTGGGTGGTATACAGCCAGTGCTCAAGATACCAGAGCTACTATATAGACTAAGAACAGACTTACATTTGCGTGAATTTTTTTTTTTTAAACCCCATAGTAAGCCATCTTACTCAGCTGGGCTAAGCAAACACACACAAAAATTTCCCAGGTACTTCATTTACTTTCTTTGGGGGATATATTTATGACAGAGTTGAAAAACTCAAATCCCAAGCTTACTGATCTGAGCTGAAATTTTACCAAACATGTACGGAGAAATATTTATATATGATGTGTATATTTTATTATATGGTACAATAATTATTTACCCCCCCTTTCCAAACAGGCATGGCATTTTGTGATATGACCACTTCATGAGCATTAAATTAGTATCAGGGAGAAAACCCTTACACCTCTGGCTTACCTTGTACCTGCTGAATCCTATTCCATAATCACCCACTTTCACATTTAAGTCCGAGGTAAGAAAGCAGTTTCGCAGGGCTAAGTCACTGAAAACAGAAAGAGTGAAGTGAACATGAGAACAAGGAGAATTAACACCCGGGAAGACATGACGTGGAACTGCCGTGGAAAAAGGCTTTCTTGGGAAATCAGGGTGGTAAGTGTATTGATTTCCCTGATGAATAATTCATGTTTTAAAATCCTTTTTCAGAGAAAAGGGCAATGCCATATTCCTAATTACTTAAAGAATGGAGATGATCAGATTTTTTTTTTTTTTGTAAATCACTCTGACTGCTAACAGGTTAAATTCTAAACATATTTGTACCTTGTTCCGCGTTGATACCAGACTTATGGCTCATTTTCTGGTATTTTTAGAGTTACCAAGGAAGAATTCTAAACTGGCTAATTTGTCTGAATTTATTTTAAATAGCTTACATTACCTGAGTAATAATCTAGTAGTAGTCTCTTAACTGCAAGTAAAGAATAAAGTTACAACTTCAATCACACTAAAATAATCTACATTATTAAAAATGTTTGTTTTAACTCCTTTTTCAAAGATATGCAAGCATTATAAGTGACTTAGCCCCCTCCAATTCACTCTTCTCTTCCAAACTCTACCTCTCCAAAAGGGAGGCAAAGAGCATATTTTCAAGACTGACTTAAAACAATTTACTCAGTTTATTTAAGAACAAATTAGTTTTAAAAACTACCTAACTTGGAAAGTAAAAAACTTTTTCTAAAAAAACTTCCCATAGAGACAGCAGATTACATTTTTTGGATTTCAGATTTTTTGGATTCCAAGGGTTAAGCCTTGGAATTTTATTATCAATTGGCATATGAATGAAAAAGCCACTGAACTAAAATAGAATTGAATACCTAACTTACAGTTTTAAATCCTAAATAAAAGTTCTCAGAAACTGAATTTCCACAGTCCAAAAATTTAAAACGTTTGTCTTTGGCCAAAAATCAAAAACTTTATCAAATTCTTATTTTCAGTGATTTTAATTTCCAAAGCTCATGTGTCGGAATAGAACAACGACGTGGATAAGGGCACAAGAGCTAACACTGATGGGATCCAGTGACAGCCTGGTGCACACCACCACTGATCCCATCATACCATCAGGGCTAATGTTTAGAAAGCACTTTACACACAGGTGTTTCTCCAAGCACCTGATACATATTAACTCATTTCTTCTTCACAACAGGCCTCCCAGGTGGGTACCATTATGTTCCCCATTTACAGAAAAGGAAACTGAGGCGCAAGGAACTGAAGCGACTCTGCCAGGGTCAGTATTTCTCACACCATCAATAACCATCAACAACAACCCATTGCCAGTCAGAGCGCACTGCCGTACGTGCAACTGGTCCTCAATAAACACGCTGATCTCACGTTGATCTCAGTAAACGTTCCTGACTCTGTGTCACATCGAGGTGGCTCTCACAGTATTTCACACCTTGTTGCTGTCATGTTTGTTATGACGATCTGTGATCAGTGACCTTCAATGTTACTACTGTAATTTTTTGGCATTTTTTAAGCAATAACTTTTAAGTCCAAGATAAGAAAGCAGTTAGATGTATTCAATTAGTTAGATTGTGTTCAATCAGTTCAATTGGTTAGACTGTGTTCAGTCAGATGTGTTCAATCCCTGTCTACATTATGATTACAAACAGTGTTTTCATGGCGCTCCACCAGGCCTCTGGAGTGTCTGGGAAAAAAACTCGGGACCACCTCTAATGTTACAGACAAAATGCAAGCACACGGGGGGATCAGTGTCCCAGACCACCTCAACAAAGCGACTCTCGTGATAAAGCGAGTCCATGCATTTTTAGGTTTCCTAGTGCAGAGAAAAGTGATGTTTACACTACACTGTAGTCTATTACGTGTCCAAAAACATACAAACAAACACTATGTATAAACCTTAATTAAAAATACTTTATCACTTAAAAAATGTCAAAATAATTACAATAGCAACACTGAAGATCACTGATCACAGATGATCCTAACAAACGACGACAAGGTGTGAAATACTGTGAGCCACCCGACATGGCACAGACAGGCAGCGAGCACGCGCGCTGCAGAGAGGCGCCTCCAGACCTGCTTGACGAGGGCTGCTGCAGACTTCTGACCTGTGTGTGCTGGGGGGGTAGGTGGGGAGCCCAACAAACCCACGATATCTGCGAAGCATGGTAGAACAAGGTGTGCCGTAGAAACCTCCCATCTCGAGGAGAGAGGTGGCCCCTGGGTTTGGAAATGAAGGAAGGAGGGCGGGCAGCAGAATTCGGGGCTCCAGACTGCCTGGCCCTCTGGACTGCAAGCGGCACATGCGTGGCACTGCGGGTCCTGCCCCAGAGGCTCTGGGCACCACCGGCCAGCACTGCTAAGGCCCCTGCAGACAGACACTCCTCAACCTTCCCAACACCTCTGTCCTGGGATCAGAATGAAGATCTGGGTGCCAGGGCCCCTGGCCGGGAGTGTGCAGGTCATCTGAGGCAGGGTGGCAGCCCGGGGCGGGGGCAGGGAGGGCACCTGCAGGGCGGCCCCTGGCGCCTTCCACTCTGCCCACTCGAGCCACACCAGGGCGGCCTCCCTCCACACCTTTCTCCTCACATGTGGTCCCTACAGGTCTACCGACAGGAAAAGCAGGTAAAAGATGAAAAAATGCGTGCAAAGGGCCTAGGGCTCTCTGCACATGACACTGTGAAACTCTCCTACAGTTTGACCAGCGGTCTCAGAGAGGAGGACACGCCTCCTGTTACCTGAACGCCAGGGGTACTGAGGAGGAAAATGATGCTGTGGCCGACCAAGGGGATTTCCTCTAGACTCGCCCTCCACTCCGCCCCAAACATCCTGGTCACCGGAGGGAGTGCAAAAGTGCTGGACAAAGTCAGAGACCAGCGACCGAGCTTGCTCCACCACTTGTAACTGTGTGACTCTGGCAAGTCAGTCGGCACACCAGAGCCTCAGTTCTCCTTGGCAACAACAACAAAAAAAGAGAGGGTGTGCGCTAACCTGTAAGGGTTACCTCATAAGATTTTTATAAGAATACAGATTTTAAACATCGAAACATTCAAAACATCAAATTCTTGTCCAGATTCAAAATTATAAAATTCAATTCAAAAGTAGTAACACATAAATACTCTCCAAGGCTCAATAATGTACCAAGCTAAAGAACAGGAAAATGTAGAGGTGTAACTTTTTAACAGCAGAGGTAACTCTTGACGTCAATGGCCGGTTTGAGTCAGGAAATACAAACATACCCAGTATATTCTTCCTTCAAGTTGAAAAACAGGTCTAGTGGCAAAGCTGCCAACTGACCTGGTCTTCAGAGCTTGGGCTCCGTCGCCTTAGGCAGTGACTGCAGGGACCCCGCCAGGTGAGCAGAGCGGTGGGTACAGAGGGGAAGTGTTCTAAACAGTTTCCCACCCTGATTCACAAGGAAACATCATGGCTTGCTCTCAGCTCCCACTGGCATTGAGACCCCGCCCACCTCCAGGAGATCGTTCTTGTGGAAACAGCTCAGCGGGGCTGCAGCCTGTTTTCAAGACTGCTCTGTCCTCTATTTAATTAACATACTACCCACCAAGGCTCTCCCAGGAACCTGAATTCCTGATCAAAAGAGCAAGCAGCAACCCAACTTTACTGAATACTCTTCCAGGGCACAGCCCACATTATTTTATGTAATCCTGACAAAAGCACTTCAGGGCAAGATTACCCTGTTTCAGGGAAGAAACAAGCTCAGAGGATTAAGGAAGGAGAGGCCACTTAACAGCTTCAGCTCACGGTACCTGCCGCCAGCAGCCACCACAGTGTAAATACTAATCCCCACATGGGCTGTGAAGAGACTCTGCCACTTCCCACTGGAAGGTGGCTGCAGGCAGTGGCAGAGAAGCAAGGCCAGAGGGTTCAGACGCAGCACAAAGAGGCAACTGGGCTCATACAGCGTCTGGACAGCTTCACCCCTGCTCATCAGGTCAGCCTGCATCACGCTTCTCTTCCCTGACATCACAGTACAGACCAGGTCGACAGCCCAGGCCTGTGGCCGGTCCTTCCTAGCCCTCTCACACACACCGTCCCCCTAAACTGCGTTCTAAGGATGCCGGGCTCCTGTAACACTGGGACACCCACGCTCTGAGGGCTGGAGGACTTAATGACCTCGGTGTTTCTCAGCAGAAAGTAACTTTTAACTTTAAACTGGGAAAATCCTAAAGAGGTCTTGTGTGCTGTTTGGCCACACCACACGGCACGTGGGATCCTCAGTTCCCGACCAGGAATCGCACCTGCACCCCTGCAGTGGGAGCGCCGAGTCCTCCCCAGTGGGCTGCCAGGGACGTCCGTCAGGAGGTCCTTCACGCACAGTGTTGCCTGGGCGCACCCTGAGGCCACGGTCACATGGGCCTCCAGCCACAGGAGCCACGCCCCCACCGCCCGCTGCAGGGTCTTACTCATCTCAGTGGCCTGCTGGCTCCTTCCTGCTCCTCCAGGAAGACCGACAGGCCGGGCACAGAAGTCCTAGGCGCTCGGCCAGCAGGTCGGGAAGGTGCGGAGTGTGGCACGCTGGCAACTCCCGCTGTTTACGTGGCCTTCGCGGACGTCGCGTGTCTGACTGCAGAAATGCACACTACCCAAGACCCAGGCTTAAGTCTCCTCTTAGACAATAAGTAAAAGTAAAAATTAACCGGGGCTGCCCTGCTAGACCAGCTTCCGGTTGGATGCGTGGGAAGTTCTATTTCCAACCAACACAGAAAGTTCGACTTTGAGTCAGCAAATAAACATTCTAAAGTCCAACTTAAAACTATGCTATTGTGCACTCAGTATCTTATAACAATCTAGAATGACAAATAATCTGAAAAACATACATATAACTGAGTCACTCTGCTGCACACTTGGAACACAACACTGTAAATCAACTCTACTTCAATTTTAAAAAATGCTGCTACAGTGTGCTACCAACACAAAAATAAAGCACACAAAACTACATAAAATACGGCTACTTTTTAAAAGAAAATGAAACCGTTGTCAATGGTTTCAGGAATTTTCTTTACCTTGGGTTTATGTACCTGAATTACATCCAAATCATGTGAGTTAATTTATCATTTATTTGTTTGAAACAAGATCCTAAAGTAAGTAAAACTTTAACATAAAGAAACACACACACACACACACACAAAAGAAACTCACAGGAAGGTAACATTTACTCTGACATCTCTGCCAATTTTTAAAATGTAATCATAGAAACCAACTTGGGCTTTAAACAATTTCCAGTTGTCTTTGACAATTTTATGTTGCTGATTCTGATGTGATCTTCTCTGAAAATGCTCCGTTCTCCAAAATCTAAAAATTCCTACACCAAGTATTTAGGTAATAATCACTTGTGTTTTATAAAAGAGTAACAATACAAATATGCTGGGTATTAATCTGTTACGAGGAAAAAAAACAAAATATAAGATTTTTCCATTATAAAACAAATAGATCTTTATATTTTGACATTTTGTGTAAGGGTTTCTGCCTTGGGCTTGAAGAAATTCATAATTTTTTTGAGTCTCTATAAAGCACCTCATCAGAATGATCTCCTCACTGTGCAAGTCAAACAAGATAGATATGTAAGAAGAGTGTTAATTTTCCTTCTTTCCACCCTGAAGTAATGTTGAGAATCTGATAGGTATTTTTCCATATCTGTTCACACATGTACACACACAGACTCACACAAACCCCCACAGATATAAGCATTATCTTTTTTTAATGGCGTCGTATTTTAAATACATTATATATATGTGTATATATAAAATATACAACCTGTGCAACCTGCGTCTCCATGTCAGTACACACAGGTGTTCCTTTTCAGGTCTTTTGATTGTTAAGAGTAAAATGATTTAATTAAAGTCAACTAAAGAGACAGCTCAGTGGTAAAGAGCCCGCTTGATAATGCAGGAGACTCAGGAGATGTGGGTTCGATCCCTAGGTCAAGAAAATCCCCTGGATGAGGAAATGGCAGTCCACTTCAATATTCGGATGGAGGAGCCTGGCAGGGGGCAGTGCAAAGAGTTGAACATGACTGCGCACACATGCATGCATGCACACGTGCATACACACACGCACGCATGCGCACATACACACAAACTGAGCATGCCAAAAGTCAAACATGACTGAGCATGCATGCGCACACGCACACACACACACTCTCTCTCTCTCCCCAATTTGTCCAGAAACCTGAGAAAACATTTCAGACACAAATCAGAGCTGAAAAGGCTAGAGGAGAACAAGCAGGAGTCTCCTTTTGAGTTTAAAGAATCATCATCTCAGGACTCAAAGTCCTTTGCTGTCCTAATTAAAACAGTTATGTGGATGATCGGAACAAAACACGATGCGCTCTGAAGAGCTGTGGCTATTCAACTGGGACCAGAAAGGTCTGGAAAGACGCGTTACCCCGACCCCCCCCACAGCTGCTCACATACAACCCAGCACCCCTGGGTCCAGCCAGGGCAGCTTCTTGGAGTGCAGACCAGAGACCGACACTGGGACCTTCTATCAGAAGATGACATCAGACCCTCAGAGCCCTCCTCTTCCCGCCTCCAGGACGGGAGAGGGCCATATGGTGACAATGACGCCAAGCAGGTAGAGGCGGAGCCTGAGGCTGATGTGAGGGGGGTGCCAAGGCAGGGGTCCAGAAGGCAGACCAGAACTGCTCCCTCAACTCTGAGCATCGCACCCTTTCGCATGCTTTGAGATTCTGGCAATAACCTCTAGGTCTTAGGCTGTATTGAGGCACTCTGTTCCCTGGAGCCCAAGCCGGCCCTTATTCTGACCCTAGGCAGGAGGGTTCACCCCCACAGCCGGCCCTCCCTGGGCTTCCGGCAGAGCCGGGGCCGTGTCGGGCTGGGGGTGGGGGAGGCGCGCGGCGGGACCCACCTGTGCAGGAAGTGCCGCCTGTGCATGGCCGCCAGCCCCGCCGCGATCTCGCACGCCAGCCTCTGCAGCAGCAGCGTCTGTGCGTCCCCCCGCGCCGGCTCCGGCTCGCCGCCGCGCAGGTAAGCCTTCAGGTCGCCCTGCGGGAACCAGCCCAGGTCAGTTTCCAGAGAGGACCAGGGGGACAGACGGGCATCTCAGCTGACAGAGATACTGACATGACTTCTTGGAAATTACTCAGATTTAAGTTTAATGAAGAATCTTACCAAACACATTTAAAATTACTAAAAAAAACAATTCCAACCAAATACTTCAAAGCTCGAGAAAATGTCCTTCTTCTTTTAGGATCATTCTAAATTCAATATTAGTTTACCTTTGTTATAGAAACACGTGGATAACAGCGGCTAAAAAATAATAACAACAAAAAAAGATAATTTTACAATGACACACAATTTACATTTAGTGCAGAGTACAGAAATTCCCAGGTCACTGGGAGACGAGATGGAGAGTAACACCGTCTTCAAGGATTCCAGGGGACGTCACATCACAAAGCTCTCAGGAGCAACAGAGAGGCAGGGAAGGAAAGAAAAATGGGTGGAAAAGGAAGAAAAAGCATTTTCGAGTGCCGGTAACTGCTTCAATTCTTTGCCAGCTCCCCCACAGCCCCTGTGAAAAAGAACATTAGGGCCACTTCAGAAATATTCATGATGTGACTATAATTAAGTCTGTTCAAAGGACAGGAAATTGAACAAATTCACACTGAGACCCCGTCACACAGGTGTTTCAATGTCCCAGGTACTCGCAAAGGAACCCCCCACCCTCCCCCACAACACACACAAACCTTTCTTGGTTTTTGTTTCCTGACTCTAAGGGTGGTATGTCCTGGGGGATTTACCATATAACTCTTTGGGGAAATACACCTTTGAGGCAATCTTCCATGTTCTGCTAACCACATGGTTAAGTATTTATTGATGTGATGTAATTCCAAGGTAAAGCTTTATATAATCAGTTAATAAAATTTAGAAAAAGCAAGTCAAAAGCTTTCAGTTTGCTTTACATGTGAGTCAAAAAAGATGCTTGAGGAAGAAAATTCCTTGACCAATTAAAAGAATCTAATACCTTTCTAATGACTGCTACTGAAGACAGCAAACTGATCAAACCTCCCAAGCTAAACTTGATAACACAGTATTCCTCTACTAGAATTTGTCCACACTCAATACCAAGTGCTTTCTAAGGTAATGTCTAAGTCCACACCAAGAACCTAAATTTGTTTTCATTCCCAGTTTCAACGACCTTTGTATGAATGATAATGTTGGTATCATGGAGTTCTCATGGCTGGGAAAGACTGAAGGCAGAAGAGGGTGACAGAGGATGAGATGGTTGGATGGCATCACCAATTCAATGGACATGAACGTGGGCAAACTCTGGTAGATGGTGAGGGACGGGAGGCCTGACGTGCTGCAGTCTATGGGGTTGCAAAGAGTCGGACACAACGTGGTGACTGGACAACAAGAACAAGAAAGGTGGTATCAATAACTGTTACCATCTGAGCTTTCAAGCAGGAGCCAACCACTGTGCTGGGAGTTTCTGCACCTGTTACCGCAAGTAACTCTCACAATTCCCGACGAGGCTTAGGGAGGGTGAGAACTCTGCCCAAGGTCACAGAGCTAACAAACAACTGCACTTCCACTCTTCTGTTTACTTGCCAAGAGAATCCTATTTGGTGAGTGAATCCAATTAGTATGCAGATCAAATCAGTTATTTCATAAGAATGAACGTCAAGTCAGCTAAAGCCAACCACACAGCTCTCTAGGATTCCCCCCCACTCAGCAAGCTGCTCCGCCCTGGGAGCTGCAACCCCGGCCAGGGAGGGTGTTAGCTCCCGCTTCTCTGCACTCACAGCCTTTCCCCTTCTGCACCCTCGCACAGCTACAAGCTGCTCCCGATGAGAAACACCTTTCTCCCCTTTAAAAATACATTCTCCTCACCACCCCAACCCACCTTCACCCAGGCTAGGCTCTGTCCAGTGCAGAAGAGGTGGAAATAAACCCCGTGTTGGGTGACAATTAAATTAACCCAGAAAAACTCCAGCAGAAAACATGGGGCCTACAGGCTCATGGGATTTTCATAAGGTAGTCCACACGGAAATGAAATATGAGAACAGAGAGCTAAAGTTTATTCACCTTACCGGTGAAACGACAACTTAAAAGGCATCTGTCTAAACCCCTTCCTTCAATGTCCATCTAAGGAAAAAACTACCCTCACACAAAAGTAGGACTATGCTGTTCTGCGTTTGGCCAATTCTCAAAGCAAACAGGAGCTGCTGGCAAACAGCAAACACTTCCCAAGTGATTTTGGCCATGAAGGCAGGAACAGCAGAGTGGGTGTAGCTGTTTTTCAAGGTTACCTAAAGTATATTCCTGTTCTTAAGTTATCTTCTCTCCACAATAGGCCACTCCCCAAATTTGACCTGGAGATAAAGTATAATAAACAGAAGGAGATTTTGCTTCAGCTCTGAAGGTTTCCAGCTTGGCAAAAACTCAGTCTCTCTGCATCTGCACTGGGGTGGGGGGGAAGGCAGGAGGGTAAGCACGGCCCAAGCAAACACGTCCCTAACCTGTGGAATGAACGTCAGCGGTTCCTGAGGAGCCAGATCAGCTTCTCATGGACGAGACCTGTGATGGGCTGGGAGGGGCCCAGGGCTACTTCTATGTTCTAGAAAGAACCCCAGCGCTCTCCTGGCACCACCGTGCAAAAGAAAAATCAGCTTAAGATTCAACTATAGCAAAGATGTTTCTAAAACTACTAAAAATTGATCCATTCTATCCAAAACAGATAAAGCTGTAAAAATTTAGGTATCTGGGTTACGCTTTAATGATGCTTAGTGAGTAGACTGGGGTTATTCCCTTGGTCTATGACTTAAAAAGAGAAACACTGAGAACAGCCATGTAATCTAACAAAGTTCCTTTTATCCAAGTTTTAAATATTTCTCACATCCTCCCTAATGCCCTGCCCCCCAAAACTCAAGGAAACCGTAAGACGCTAGATGGCAGCAAAGCGCTGGTACTGAGAGCCCAGACACCAGCGCGGCAGCGCGGCGGTCTTCCGCACTGAGGCACGCGGACCTTCGGATGCTTCCTCGGGAGGGCCCTCTTAAACCCCAACACCGGCTGCCATGAGTGCTCTGTCCAGCTGTCCGCCAGACACGGAGAACCAGGAATTCAGTCCAACAGCATAAAAACCCAACAAGCAAATAGATTAGAAATTACAATTGCTCATACGTTTGACAGAGGATTTGGGAGAAAACTTTATGTTTTTAAACAAAAATTTGACTGAAAGGATGAGGAATGGCATCGACAGCCATGTGCTCAGCATGCACTGAGGAAATGAGCCTCTGGGCCAGGAGGGAGGCCCCGGGAACCGCCAGCCCGAGGGTTCTCACTCCTCACACAGGCTGGGCCTCCTGCCGTCGCAGGCACTCAAGCCCTCACCTGTCCACGCCCACACCCGCACAGCGCCTCCTCTCCTCACGAATTCCCCTCCCCAAGCCCATCCTGTCTCTGCTCAAAGAATCAGCGCCCGCCCCTCTGCCTCCATACTCAGCTCCTGCGCCCACCCCACCTCCCTCTTATGGACACAGGGCTTTGGGCCTGCCGGCTGGCCTGCCCCCACCCCCAGAAACCCTCACCCCCCAACAGGCTGGGCTCCAGCTGCTCCCATCAGTTATCCCCCGCCGCCTCTGCCGGACGCTGGGTCAGCGGTCACCAGCAGAACCCAGTGAGGGCCCGCTCCTTCCTTCCCCACTGGGCTCCTTCTTCCAAGCTCACGGGTCACTCCTTTCCAGGCCCCTGTGCGGAACCTTCTCCCTCTTTCTGGTCAGCAGGGACCAGCACGCCCAGGGCTCTGTCCATGGTCCTCATCCCTCCTCACCGCAACACTCATTCCTAGGTGCGCGTATCACCCCACGGGCACTGAACATCATCTCTCACACACCTCTCTGGCTCAGATCCCCCACCCCTGAGCCCCAGGCTCATCTGTCATCTGCTCACTCGACACCCTTCCCAGGATGCCCGAGAGGCACCTCCAATCCGACGCACACAGTGCAAAGCTCCAAGATCTGTTCCGTCTCAGGAACTGACATCTCTGTTTACCCAGGGCATCCAGCCAAAACTAGAGTTCTCATTCTGGAGTCAGCTCTGGCCTGAGATGCCCACCACCACCCATCACCAAGTCACGAACCTACAGTTAGAGAGAGCCTGGGCCTCGGGGCCCAGGGCAGCAGTCATGTGCTGGGGGGCTGGGCCGCTGGCTGGGCCCTGGGAACGCAGCGCCCCCCACCAGCTGCCCACATCGCCCCACCGCCAAGCCTGATCACACCGTGTTGTCGTTCGGCACATGTCCCCTCTGCGGGCTTGGAGTTGGGGACACTGTCCACGTGCCCCCTCTGCTCCGCCGTAAGCCCATGCCCTCTCTCTTCTCCTCGCGCTCCTGAGGCATGGGGCACGTCACTCATCTCCGTGTCTGGAAGGTCCCTGTGCACGGGCTTACTTCACAAGTTCATTCATGAACAAGACGTGGCACTTCTGTACAAAAGGCCAATTCAGGGAGGCTTCCCACTGGCGGAGCACAAATGTGCAGGCGTTAACCCCACCTGATACAAAAGCATGTAGAATAAAATTAAGCCATTAGTTACAATCCTCACTTCTCCACGGCAATCACGTGACTCAGACGAGGAAGAGGAGAAAGCGTGGTCCCGGGCGTGGCCGGCAGAGCCCTGGATCCTCCCTTGCAGCTGGTCTTCTCATCTGTAAAATGATGTTGCAGCCACCTCCTCGGAAGACTCAGTGCCCAGCAGGATGCCCGGTGCCGTCGGGGCCCCGTCTCCTCCCCCCACGCCCGTGCGGGCAGGGGCCATGCTTCCATCAGCCCCAGAGCCTCTCCTGAGCTGCTGGAGCCAGCCAGCCACAGAGGGGCATGAAGTCTACACAGACACCAAGAACACTCCCTGGCAAAGGAAAGACTCTCATCTCTACATCTCCACTTCAGAGTCTGGGGACGGAGGCAGAACTGCTGACCCTCATCAGAAACAAGACGGAGTGGCCTGGAACCTGCTTCCTCTGTCACCTCGGCCTGCAGTCTGACCTCCCAGTGGTTGGTCTCTGCTCAACTCCCTTCCAACCGATCCCTCCCAGCAGACGCCAACCTGCCTCCCCGATCGTGGTGCTCTCGCCCACCAGTCCCCAGGTGCCCCCAAGCCCACACGTGCACACCATCAAGCTCCCCTGCCTGGCTCACGGGTCCTTGAGACCCTTTCCTGCTGAGCAAAGTCCATCCACCCACCTGTCCACATTCAAACCAAACGCCACCTTCTTTGTGAAGCCTACCCCAATGAGCCTAGTTATAACTGCTACACAGAACCACCCAAATCCTTAAATTACGATCAACTTAAGAAAATAATAAAAATGAGTAAATGTAACTACCATTTCCTGAGCACTTAGTATGTGCCCAGCGATTCCCATTCAACAGCTTATGGTCAGGCAGTCCACAGGAGAGGCAGGATCATCCCCATTTTACAGATGCCTACACTGAGGCTTCATGAGGTTAGGGCCTTTGCAGGGAGACACACAAGCAGGTGGCAGGCCGAGCGTGTGAAGGCAGGCCGAGCGTGTGAGGCAGGCCCGCCTGGCCTTACGGGTGGAAAAGGCAGGACGGGGGTGACTGGCTATGCTCCCCAGAGTGTGGGGCACAGCCCTCGGTTCTCAACAGGTGCTCACACACTTTAGCTGAGTGATCCTGACCCCAAACAGTCTCGTCACCCGCCCAGAGACACACAGGGGGTGCACCACAGCCCCCGCGGCCACACGTTCCACACGGCGCTGTGCGCTGAGCTCTCCGCCCATGAGCACTGCACTCTCGGCAAGACACACTGGTGACTGCGGGCCAGATACCAAACCCTGCAGTTTTTTACTTGCTTTCATAAAAATTCTAAGATAAAGTGTTTTTCAAAAAGAGACCAGTAATTCCATCTCGCGAGGAATGACTTAAGTAAGTACGAAAACATTCTCTCCTTTCTGAAGAGATGGTATCTCTGAGCATGCTCTCCGCCTGGTGATGACGCGAGAGGCCAACGTGCCCATGCCAGCTCCTGACCTGCTAAGAACCTGTGAGGACAGTGGCCCCTGTCACGGTGGCCGCGGCGACTCATTCCCAAGCCTGGGCTGGCAGCCTTTGTCCTCTGGACCCTGGCCAGACGGCACCTCTGCCTCGGATGACGCGCCTCTGCTCAGGCCGGCCTCTTTCTAGGGGGGTCCTGGGGCACCCAGGTTGGGAGCAGGGTTCCAGGGAAGCCGGGCTTCGGGGTGCTCCGGGGACATCGCTGCAGTCCAGGCAGGCAGGAGTCTCCAGGGCTCAGGGGCCGACATGAGCTGAGCATTTCTGTCACCAGCCCCTGAGCACACCGAGCCTGAGACCCTGACCCTGACCCCTGACACCGACCCTGACAGCGCCCCCGGCGAGGCCCAGCCCTGCTGCTAGGGAGCTGGTCTCTCCGACATGTACTAGGGTCCAGAGGTGATGAGCAGGAAACCGCCCTCAGAGGCAGATGTGACCTCATCAGGGGCAAGGTGGGGGCTCCCTAGGTTAACGGCCTTACCTTAACACGAGACTGGTCATTCTGATGCCAACCGACAGACTTTCCACGGGCACACCAGCCCCCACTGGGCGTAGGTGACGCCGGTAGAGCCCCTGACCTAACAGTAAGTAGTCACCAATGTCTTGTGTGTGTGATAAAAACCACCTAACATGAGGCTACCTCCCAGCCACTTCTAAGTGTCCACTTGCGCGGCATTAAGTCCCTCCACACTGTCATGCAGTCCTCAGCCCCATCCGTCCTCAGGACGCTCTTCATCTTCCCAAACCAGACTCTGCTCCCTGCTAAACACCAACTCCCCCTGCCCCTGGCACCCACCCCACCACCTTCACCCCGGGGGGGTGGCTCTGGGAACCTCATGCAAGTGGATTCCTACACTATTTGTGTTTTTGTGACCTAGGTTATTTCACTGAGCATAATGTCCTCAAGGTTCATCCACATGACAGTAGATGTCAAAATTTCTTTCCTTTCTAAGACTGAGTAATATTCCAGTTCATGGCCAGACCCAATTTTCCTTATCTGTTCATCCACTGAGGGATCCCTGGGCTGCTTCTGCCTCGTGGTTCCTGTGAATAATGGTGTTATGAACACAAGCATGAAAATGGGACTTTGTGCTCAACCATTTGAATATGTACCTAGACGTGAAACTAAACTCATCCCCTGAACCCATTCAGAAGAAAACATCAAGCTTTTACTATTCCAGTAAAAACAACAACACCGCCCAGTAAAACTTTCAGGAATGCACAGACAGGGTGAAGAATAAGAAAATGCCAAAGCACATGAGCTGCTTTTATAAACCACCTCGATTAGCCTGCAAATGTGCCATTTCAGGAAGATGGCGACTCCCGCTTATTTCTCTGATGCTTGCTCACAAAGAGTGCTCCCATTGCTGTTTATATTCACTATCAGGAGCCAATTAGGGACCCAAAAGAGACACCATCAAATGTCCCACAAAAGCAGAACTCTGACAAGCGGACCTGTCTCATCACATGAAAATATATTTTTGGTCTTCCTTCTCCACAGGCTGGATCACCTGTCATACTAGTCACCCAGAGCTAGGCTAAAAGGATTATTCTCATATTCTATTTAATAATAACCAGGGATCATGCATACTGCACCTCTGATAATACTGAGATAACCAGCATCAACTGTGCACCAAGCCCACCAGAAACACAGCTGGGAACACCTCCCCTCTGTCCTCGCACCTCTATGAGACAATCCGGCTAAATGGCAATGGTCACATGCCTGTTCCCTCTCGGCAGGAGACCCAGAGGACAAGGGCCAGTTCTCTCTTTGGGTCCCGTGAGAGCAGGGAGCTGCCTCTCTGCAGCAAGTGTTCAATCAGGAAGCAGCCTCCACGACGGGAGAAACCGTGGGGAGGGCACAGAGAGAAGTGAGATTAACTCTGGCTTCCTTATACAGAGAGCTCTAGGAGGTGCACCCGGGGGAGAGTTAAATCCATTGATTTTAAACTTTGTTACCCTAAAGGTGAATGTTGCAACTTCTGGTGTAACCATACACCAAATTAGAAACAGTATCTACAACAGGAGATGGGGAAAACTGAAACAAAAAAATTTAAGAATCCAAACCAAGGCTAGAAAAACAGCAAATAATAAAAGTTGAAACAGGTAGGAAAAACAATACAAAATAGGCAGGTAACATTCTAAACATCACAGCTGGTAGAATAAATACAAATGGACAACTTGTTCCACTTTAAGTAACCAAGACTGACAGATTAATAAAATTCTAACAATAAGCTATTTACAAGAGATGTCAACCAGAGGATTGGCAGAACTAAACCAGGCAAATTCTAACCAAAAGAAAGCTGGCATAGCTATATCAATATTGTTAAAAAGACTTTATCCTCAGTAATGCTTTTAATCTTAAATAGAGCCCCTTCATAATAATAAAAGTTTCAAATTACCAGAAGTTATATGTATTCTAAATTTGTATCCCTGACACAGTAGGTATCAAAATGTAAGAAACAGAATAACTAGAACCATAAGGAAAAAATAAGGAAAATACATAATCAGAAGATTTTAACATGCCTCTCAATACCTAACAGAAAACTGACCCAGGTTCCCTCTGTTCTTGCCCCTTCTCCACAAATGAGGAGGAAACAGGATATGTGAACAGCCTCATAAACTTGACCCAAAAGATCCACACAGACATACTGTGCTGATCACCACAATACACATTTCCCGCAGCAGCTACGATGGAATGAAATGCTGCCCCTGGAGTGGAGATGAAGGCAGCCAGGAAGAGAGCTGCAGCTGACCCCAAGCCGACGAGGACCACTGTGCTCGGTCACAGGCTGGGGGCGAGAACGGGGAAGAGTTTACTGCAACATAACCCACTGAAAGCAAATACAGCTTGTTAATCATGCTTCTTTGGAACAGAAGTGAAGGCCATCCCTCATCCAGCATTTCCATCTGCCAGAAACACTTTGGTAAAAACTTCTGAATACGTGACCTTGAACTTGTACTAGAAACTTACCAGGTCACAGAACTCGAACACCAGAAGATAGGGGATTGCTTCCACACATTGTCCGACACACTGGAGGACATTTGGATGCTGAAGGGTACTGGTAAAAAATAAAAGTCACAGCAGTGTTCATGAGGGAGCAGGCCAGTAAAACTGTTCAAACAGTAACCCCAAATTGAACATTCTTCACGATTTAAATATGATCAACTGAAGAGTGCACCAGAAGATTATATTTAACAGATGCATTCTAAGCTATGTATTGATTAAATAATTCAAAGGCAAGCAGGTAAACATTTTCACAAATTAAAACAACTTCTATCATCAGAACCTTTTAACTGGCAATTTAAGTTTATAGCTATCATTCTGAAGCAGCATTTAAAAGAAGGCGGACTATATTCAATAAGCATTTCAATCCACATGTTAAGTAACTCAGTTACTTCTTAGGCTATCTAGTTTATATACTGCTTTTATAAATCATTGTACATGCAAACATTTTTGAAAAATATGTTGTCTAAAGCAAAGCTTTAAAAAAAACGATATCCCAAAATATTGGGTTTTTTTGAAGACAATAATGAAATAAGAGTAAGTTGCAAAAGACAGCACAAAGAGGTCCCAGGCTCCCTTCACCCAGTTTTCCTTCCTGGTGACACCTGAGACAAACACAATGCCATCCTGAAACGAGGGCACTGACACTAGGGTGCAGTGTCTGTGTGCACCTGGATCCTGTTGCCAAGTGTGCAGATTCATGCAACCACTACACAATGGAAATACATAACTGCCCCCCACCACGAAGCTCTCCATGCCACCTTCCATGGTCACACCCGACAACCCCCACCAACCATCCCTCGGCCCTGGCAACCACTAATCTGGTCTCCTTTCCCACATGTCTCATTTTGAGAAGATTATGTAAATGAAATCACACAGTGTGTGGCCTTCTGAGGTTGATTTTTTCACTCAATATAATGCCTTTAGGATTACCCAAGTTGCTGCCTGCATCAGGGGGTCCCTTCTCATTTACCGCTAAGCAGAATTCCACGGCTTGGATGGACCACAGTTTGTCTAAACCAGTCACCTAGGGATGGCATTTTAGTTTTCCCAGTTTGAGGCTATTATAAATAAAGCTGCTATAAAAAATCATGCAAGAGATTTTGTGTGGAAATAAGTTCTCTGAGATAAATGCCCAGGAGTGCAACAGCTAGACTGATTATAGGATGTGATAGTTAATTTTGTGTCAACTTGGCTGGGCCATAGTGCCACAGATATTTGGTCAAACATTATTCTGGACCACTTCTGTGAGGGTGTTTTGGGATGAGACCATCATTAAATCAGTTAACTTTCAGTAAAAGCAGATCATGCTCCATGGTGTGGGTGGGCCTCGTCCAATCAGGTGAAGACCTTAACATAACAAAGACCAGCCTCCCCCAGTGAAGAAGGAAAACTGTGAGCAGACGGCCTCCACACCTGAACTGTAACAGTGGCTCTGCTGTGTCTCTAGCCTGATGGCCCCACCCTGAAGACTTGCCAGACTCCGTAACTGCATGAGCCATTTCCTTAAAATAAATTACCTACCTACTTATCCATTCATCTGTGGACCTACCTAACTATCCATCTATCTCTTTACCTACCTATCCATCTACCTATCCACCCACCTATTCATCCATCCGTCTATCTACCTGCCCATCTCTCTATCTATAGATCCTACTGGCTCCTGTTTCTCCAGAGAACTGTCACTAATACATATGGTGGTTACATGTATGTTTAGTTTTTTAACAAAGTGTCTAACTAGTCTGCAGTGACTATACCATCTTCAACTACTTTGAAGAATTCTCTGGTCAAACTGTCTAACCCCAGAGATTCTTCTGGAGAGTTTTTAGGTTTCAAACTCCATTTCTTTAACAAATCTATTCAAATAACCTATTTCACATTGAGTGAACCGTAGCGGTTTGTGCTTTTTGAGTAACTGGTGCATTTCATCTAAGTTGTCAAATATATATACTAGAGCTGTTGGTCCTGTTCTATCCTCTTGATGTCTGTAGGGTCTGTTTCATTCCTGGTATTAGGAATCTGCGTATAAGGAATCTCTCTCTGCTGTTCTCTGTCAAGTGTTGTAAGAGGTTTTTCAATTTTATTGTCTTTCCAAAGAGCCAGCTTTATGTTTCCCTGATTTTTATCTAGTCTTTCTGTTTTCTGCTCTTTTCTTTTAATATCTATTCCTGCTTGCATTGAGTTCATTGTGCTCTTTTTTTCTGGTCCCTTGACATACGCGCTGAGATATTCTGATTTGAGAGTCACCTTTTCTAAGGTAACCCAACCCCGTAGGTAAGACGGTGCTTCCCTCTCCCTGCTCCTGAGACTGTGGCTGTTGTTTTCAGACATTTGACTATGATGTGTGTTGGCACACATTTCTTTGGGTTGATCCTGCTTGAGATTTTCTCCATGTCTTGAATCTGTAGGTTTGTCTTTGCAAAATGTGGAATAATTTTCAGTGAATAGTTCTTCAAACATCTTTTCTAGCCACCTTCTATCTCCTTTCAATCTGGGACATCCTGATCTTTTGTTCAAGTCCCCCAAGTCCTTGGGGCACTCTTCATTTTTTAAGCTTATTTTCTTTTTGCTGCATGAACTGGGTGATATTTATCTTCAGCTTCACTGATGCTCCTTCTTTGTCCTCTCCATTCTGCTACTGAACTCATCTATTCATATTTTATTTTGATTACTATTTTTTTCAGTTCTAAAGTGTCCATTCAGGTCTTCTTGATGTCCTCCATATCTTTGCTGAGGCTTTGCATGTTTTCATTTGTTTCAAGGGCACTATAATTTAATTATTCACTGAAGCATTTTTACAATGGCTGTTTTAAACTCCTTGTCAGATAATCCAAACATCTCTCTCATCTTGATGTTAGTATTTGTTATCTTCTGTGTACTTATTTTATTGAAGTATAGTTGATTTTCGATGCTGTGTTAATTTTTGCTATATGTCATAATGATTCCGTCTTACAGATATACATGCTTTTTCATATTCTTTTCCATTATGATTTATCTCAGGATATTGAAAATAGGTCCCTGTGCTGTAAGAGCACGCCCTGGATGCATATCCGTTCTCTACACAAGAGCGTGCATCTGCTAATCCCAAACTCCCAGCCCAGCCTTCCCTCACTGCCCCTCCCACGTGGCAACCACACGTCTATTCTCTGTCTGAGAGTCTCCTTCTGTTTTGTAGACACATTCATTTCTATCATAGTTTAAATTCCACATGTAAGTGGTATCATACGGTATTTGTCTTTCCCTGTCTGACTTGCTGCAAATGGCATTATTTCCCTCTTGTTTGTGGCTGCGTAGTATTCACTGTATATACTGTACATGCTCCTTCTTTATCCATTCATCTAGGAACACTTAGATTGCTTTTGTGTCTTGGCTGTTGCAAACAGTGCTGCTATGAAGATATTGGGGTGCAATATGAATTTTGAATTACAGCTTTGTCCAGATATATGCCCAGGAGTGAGATTGCTGGATCATATGGTAGCTCTATTTTTAGTTTTTTGAGGAATCTCCATACTGTTTTCCATAGTGACTGCACTAATTTACATTCCCACCATCTGCTGCCTTTTCTTACTTGTGCTGAGTTCTCTTGGTTCTTGGAAAGATGAGTGATTTCGATTGAAACCTGGACATATTGGGTCTTGTGCTGTGAGACTCTGGATCTTATTTAAACTGTGTATTTTACAACCAGAAATCTCAAACTGGTTTTAAACACCTGATCTTCAATAGACCACATTTAAAAAACATATGCTATGGTTTACTTACTAGTATGGTTCTCCATTTTTCAAAAAAGTGTCTTGTTCCTTTGGGCTTGCACTTGCTTTTAACTCCTTCACAATCACTCTTGCTACGCTAGTGCCTGTGTAGATCTCTCCAAGGAGCACCTAAAACCAAAGATGAGAAACGGAACAGTTCTTCACAACGGTTTTCATTATAACCATGCTATCTACCTATTAAAATGTGCTTTAAGTATCATAAGGGAAGTGGGGAAAGGAGGAGAGACAAATAATTGGAGGAGGATGAAAAGCTTCTGAAATTCCCATCTCTTTTCCATTCTCACCACTCTTATGCCAACAATTAGAAAAGGCTCTGATAAAGAAATAAAAGGCCTTCTTGGGGAAACTCACACACCCAGAAACACTGATGCTCACGCTCCCACATGATTTCAGGGGCCGGTGGAGAAATTCAATCGGTGCCACAGTGTGTAGAGAGATGTGCAATGTCATGCACAGTAAGACTTAAGCTCCTTTGCATTCTAAGTGTAACAGGAGGGAAAAAATAAAAGTGAGCAGACTTTACCTTTCCAAACCAGCCATTCCCAATTTCCTGTATATAGTTCAGACTGTGGCGGGCAACTTGGGACTTCAAACCTTCTGTAGGAAAAAGAACATTTAAGAAGTAAAGGTAAGTATTTAATGAAAAGACACAATAAGTATATAACCTATAAAGTACAAATGGTAATATAAATTTAATGTTTGTGATAATAAAGATAGAAATAAATACTTAAGGGCTTCTCTGATGGCTCAGCGGTAATGAGTCTGCCTGCCAATGCAGGAGGCACAGGTTCAATCCCTGATCTGGAAAGATCCCACATGCTGCGGAGCAACTAAGTCCATGAGCCACAACTATCGAGCCTGTGCTCCAGAGCCCTGGAGCTGCAGCTGCTGAGCCCCCAGCAGAGCTGCTGAAGCCCGCACACCCAGAGCCTGTGCTCTGCAACGAGACACGGCTGCAACTAGAAGCCCCAGCGCCGCAACCAGAGAGCAGGCCTTGCTTGCGGCAACAAGAGAAAAGCCCACGCCCAGCAACAAAGGCCCTCAGAGCCAAAACATCAATAAACAAAATCATAAAAAAAGAAAGTTTTAAAACTGACAGTGTTTGTGAAGGAGTATCCTGCCCTGACTCTGAGCTCCAGCACAAAACACTCTGATCAACAGCCCTACTGTAACCGCCAGTCACTACCACTCACTGGCCTTTGCTGTCTTTACTTTTACGGGGGTTGGGGGCGGGGTGGTGGGGAGTAGGGATCTCTAGACTGTTCCTCTCTGGAAACACTGAAAGTCTTGTCACAGACTCAACCTCATCAGAACTCTGGAAGACGGTGAAGGTTTAGAGCAATCAAAGGGAACTAGGAGAAAGGCCACTGAAAAAGGGAGAATTTCTTTGTGGCCTTTCCTTCACCCACATCCCACCTCCCTCACAGCACATCTTAAAAACAACCCATGTGCCAGAGTGGGTGCTGGTCCCAGAGGGAGCAGAGTGGCCTCTTTCCCCAGGAACTGTGTCTCTTGACCTGACCGGGGCTTCCTGGAAGGGAAGGCCTGCTGCAGGGGTGCCCCTTCTTCCACTGAACTGGGCTCTATCAGGACATGGAGGCTTCATGTGCCTCAAAACAACAAAAGCCAGGTGGACAAGGTGCTGCCACCCGGGGCAGAAATCAACACTTGAGGCAATAATAAACAGGCTGAAGCTTCAGCAGAAAAGCTCAGTGAAATCTGGGGTGGGGGGAAAGGAGCTCTTTTTAAAAAGCTATTATTACACATATGAGGTAACCTAGAAGCCATGTGCTTCCTCAGGGAAGGACATCCGCTCAGAAGAGACCCAAGAACAGAGGCGTCACCTCTGAGGAACTGAAGGCTAAGGCAGAGCTATCAGCGGGCAGACTGGGCACCTGCCCTGGCACAGAGTCAGGCGTCAGGACCTAGACAGCATCTATTCCTTGTTCCGTTTTTTTTGCATATCATGTTATTCAAAATATCCAGTTTTCAACAGAAAATTGCAAAACAAGTAGAGAACAATAAATAATGGTACACGAACTGGTACAAAGGAAATTTAAATGAAAGTGTCCCTGAGAAAACAGACACTGGCCTTACTGGACAAGAGCTTACATCACGCGTCTTAAACATGCTGAAAGGGCTAAAGGAAACCACAGGCAAAGAACCACAGGAAACTGAAAGAAGATCAATAAAGTGAGAGAAATGATTAAAAGGAGCCAAACAGAGTTTTAGAGCTGAAAGTGCAAGAACTGAAAGAAAAAAAAAATCACAAGAAGGGTTCAACAGCAGATTTTGGATAATCAGTAAACTTGAAGGCAGGTCAAATGAGATTATCCAGTCTGAGGAGGAGGAAGAAAGAAACAAATGGAAACATCAATGAACTTAAGGCTGACCGCCAGAGTGGAGCTTCACCAGAGAGCAGAAGGCAGAGAAATCAGCAAGCGGAGGAAACACACAGTCCAATCATTTTATGATTAGTAGCAAGGCTTCCTTTCTCAGGACTCAGAAGTTATTCATGGAAACATGACATCAGGATGGAAGGCCTTACCTACAGAAGGCTGGAACTGTGATGGAGCTGGTAGTGAGACCGTTGGTACTGAAAGTGTGAAAACTTCTGCTGGAGACTGGACAGAGGGAGTGTCTTCTGCTGGTGGTGTAAAATCGATCTCATCGTCAAAATTATCTTCAAATTCCTAAAATGAAGCAAGAGTGATGCTGTATCTAATATAAATCAGCTTGAGAGCAAATGCCAAAAACATCTGCTAACATGTAAGACATAAACATTTATTCCCTCATTGGGAACACCCTGCCATAATTTTTTTCCCAATTCATATTGTCTTCAAGTAAAAAACATATGTAATTGTGTTCTATGACTCTAAACAGAAGAAGATCTGAAAATCAATTATCGTATGTAACTTTTTAAACCGATCAACTTGAAGTTAAATGCAAAGTTTTCTAAAATGACACCTAGAACTTAAAATTTACAGGCTCAAAATTTTATTTTTAAGTTACTGTGAAAGTGAAAGTGTTAGTCGCCAGCCATGCCCCACTCTTTATGACCCCATGGACTGGGGCTAGCCAGGCTTCTCTGTTCGTGGAATTTCCTGGAGAAGAACACTGGAGTAGGTTTGCCATATTCTTCTCCAAGGGATCTTCCCAACCCAGGGATTGAACCTGGGCCAGTTTAAGGTATTCTTTTAACTATTATTATTCACTTTCACAGATCTCTTTGCATACTGAATTAAAACATTTATTTTTCAATTGTATATGTATTTCTGGTGTCCTGTGATTTCAATCAAAATAAAGACAGTTAAAAGACTCAGAAAAGGTATTTTTAAGTGAGTCCTATTTCTCTGGCAATAGTAACAATGTATAAACGTACTAAAGGAGGTAGAAAAACCATCATGATCTGAACCATGAAGGTCAGTATTAAACTCTGCAGCACATAAGTGCAATAAACATTCTAAGAACATCTGGCTTTCTAAAGATGGCGACTTTAAAACGGAGGCTGCACCAACCGGGCAGCGGAACTCTTTTAAGTGTCCCTGTCCAGCAGAGCTATCCTGACTCCTGCTATCATCATTCAGCGAGCTGGGCCTGTCTTGGCGTCTGTGTTAATTTAACATGGATACAGATGACTATCAAGGTCAATCAGATGACTAATGAGCATTACCCCGCCAGGCACCATGACAGAAGCCGGACAGGACTGTTTTCCAGCCTTCTACGTGACCAAACTCTTTTCTACCACCTCCCTCGACCCCACCCCGTGCACGGGAGAAGCTGCCAGGTGTAAGGATGGATGTTGCTGAGGTAGCATTTTATATTCTCATACACGTCACAGGTGTTGCCAAACGCATCAGGACACCATCGCTATCTACTGGGGAGGGGAAAGGAGGACACTACAATCTGTGAGGTCACCCCGAAACAGAACAGCTCCGTCTGGTTTCCCCTTCGGACATTCCTCAAGGTTCTCATTTAAAAAAAGACTCCATCCGTCACTCCTAACCTGGGCAGTAGGAATTCTAAAGACTGAGAAAGGTAACACAGCATAACAGCGACAACGATGGGGCCGTGGGGGAGATACGGCCTCCACTGCCTGGACGCGCTCCCGCAGGTCACTGACTTGACCAGGCTGCAGCCTCCTGGTCGGGAAATGACTTCCCAGGGGCCATTCGGTTCCAGAACGCCACCCCTCTAAGGCCAAAGGCAAACCACGGGTGCTGGACGGTGGCTCCCTCCTTCCGCCACAGCCTGAAGCTGGCGAGGCTCTCCTGTGCAGTGTGGGCCCTCAGCCACTGCAGCAGTCAGCCAGGGAAGCCTGATAAACACACTCACGCCCTGAGTCTGCGTCGTCACGGACGCCCTGGGCCCACACTGAGCGTCAGGGGGATAAGAACGATTCAAGGCAAGAGTGAGGTCTCGTGACATGAGAGAGACTGGTTTCAGAGACACTGATCGGCCTTTACGTCTGTCCCCAAAGGGCCAGGTGTCTGCATGGCCCGTCAGCGAGACTGAGTGAGTCTGCCCGCCACTGCGCCCCCAGGCACTGCAGTCACCAGGGCCCCCCAGAAGGGTCTGCACCGATTCCAGGGCCTCGGGGCTCATGTCCTCTGGGCGGGCAGCCTTCTAGAGACAATGACCCATGCTAGGGAGTCTTCCTCCAGCCCCCTTCAGCCCCCCTCTCCCCCTAACATGTGTTAACACTGGCGTCCAGCCAAAGGGACAGCAGGTCTTCCGTTCTCAGAGCTGCCACCAGACCCAAGGCAGAGGGGACACACAACGGAAGCAGGTGTGAGGCTGGAGAAATGAGGCCACATGTCCACAGAAAAGGCTCCCCCCGATTTGAACCTCAGTCCTCAGGGCTCATGGGACAGCCCCACGACTGTCATCAGGCACTAAAGCTCTACCTGCAGGACCATTTTCTCTGCACACACACCCCTCTTTCCCCACCTTGTTTCATGGACTCCTTTTAAATAACTCTTCACTGAGCCCTAAAGCATGCCAGCTGCAAGTTCTAGAGAGGACACCCCAGCTGGTTTCCAGCAGACTCCGCCCAGAAGCTACCACGCCAGCCCCTCTATATTATCTCACACACCCCACCCCTCACCTCCCATCCGGACCAACTTTATTACCAGATGCTGCTCCTGACAAACAAAAGGCACTGGGGGATCCCCTGGCTTCTGTCATTCAACAACCATGAATTCACCAGCACTTGCAAGTTTAGAAAAAGAATCAAAACCAGCCTGCTTCTCCCTACAGGCTTTACAGCAAGTGCACTGAATCACCGGTCCTTATTCCTCACTCAGCAAAACTTCCATTAAGACAGGCAAGTGGTTCCTGTCCACGAGGCTCCGAGGCCAAGCTGGCACCCGCGGCCGGGGGCCCAAATGCAGATGGCCTACCGCACCGTGTACACGAAGCTTCCCCAGCACACAGCGGTGACCGCTTGCATCCATGCTGTCTGGGGCTCACGTGGCCACAACGACAGAGGTGAGGCTAAGCAGCCTTGACAGGGACCGTGTGGCCCACAGTACTCACTATTTACAACAGCTCTTTATTTCACTTTAATGGTTACTATCTGGCCCCTTCAGGAGGAAAAAAAACACTGCCACCCCTGTTCCCCAGGGACCCTGATGTACAGCTGTTCTGTTGACAAACGCATCAGAGGATGACTTCAAAAGTTCCTCCCATCCGTGCTCACCTTAAAGTCTATTTCTGGGTCCTTACAGCAGGATACACAGTTTGCAATTAACACTATTAATATCATTAAACTGCCCACAGAGAGGATCACAAAAGACGTGGAAATTTCTGCAACAGGTGCCTCCCCTGGAAAGAGAAATAAACAATGTTAACACAGGCATTCCAAAATCGACTTTAATAAGCGAATCAATATATTTTCTGCCATATATAAATGAGGAAAGAGTTAATAAAATAATTCTCAAATGCTCAAGATACAGCTGATGACCAACCTAGGATAAGAAGTTGAGAGTCTTTTTTTCTTTTTAAACTTCTGATTTCGAAACGATTTTAGATTTACAGCAGAGTTGCAGAGACAAGGCAGAGCGTACCCTTACACTCTTCCCCCAGCTTCCACCAGCCTGAGCATCTTACGCAGCACGTTTATCAGAGCTGAGACACCAACACGCGTACAACACCACCAGCTGAACCCCCGACTGTACCTGGACTTTACCAGGTTTTTCATCAACACCCCTTTTCTTTGCCAGGATTCAACCAGGGCCACCGATGTTCCATTTACTCATCATGGCCCTAATATCATCCAACCTCTGATGTCTCTGTCTGTGCTTCACAACTGTGATGCTTCTGAAGAGTACTGGTCAGTGACTTTGCAGACTATCCCTCAACTGGGGTTGCCTGATGTTTTCTCAGAACTGGGCTGAGGCTACAAGTATGTGGGAAGAATCTAGAATACGGCCGAGGGAAACATCCTTCTCATGACATCGTATCTGGGGCACGTGATGTTGGCACAACTCACTACTGGCTATGTGAAGCCGGGTCCCAGGGCCCAGGTGGTCTCCGCCAGGAAGACCAGGAAAGTTAACAGTCTCCTTTTCCCTTTGCACACTCCTCTCTTCAGAAGCCGGTCACAGAGTCCAGGGCACACGCCCGGGGAGGGGAATTTAGCTGTACTTCTTGGAGGGAGCAGTGTTACTGATGTGCCGGGGCAGCTTAAAATGACTGCAGTCACTGATAACCAGGGGGACTGCTCTGAGGCTCCGCCCACACACTGGGTGTCTGGAAACCTATACACTGTGAAGCTCTACTGGTGATTCTTCTATTTGCCTTTCTTCTTCAGCATGTATTACTCGGGACTCTTCTGTAAGGGAGAGTTGTCCCTCTTCCTGCATTTTTCAGTCACTGATAAAGTTATGAACTCACAGATATTCATTCTATTCTATACTCTGGGTGACACTCCATTGTTCTCATGACTCTGCAGCTCAGACTGTGCCGGCTTTGCCCCGCGGGGAGCTCTTTCAAGCTAACGCCGGGGTCCTTCAGACAGGCCCCCCAACACTTCCTCACTCTGCAGCTACAGGAGGCTCCAGGCTCCCCTTACATTTTCTCTCTTCGGGCTTTAGAATCAGCCGCTTCTCTAGGGAGCCCTGGTCATGAGAGAGAAACTGGAAACAACACACCTGTGACTACAGCCTGTGACCGGTTTGGCTTGGGGGTGAGGGGACAGCTCAGAATAACTTCCACATCTTTAAAGGGCTGCTTCGAAAAGAATCTGCAATGGACACTCCATGTGAGCCACCGATAAGAAGCCTGCAACCCCTGTCGGGAGCACAAAGACTCTGAGAGCTCACTTTCAGCAAAGACTCAGTTATCTAGACATCATCTTATTCAGGCAGGCTTACTCAGAACTTTTGTGCTTTTGTTACAGCAAATTGTTCAGTCTCACCTACTGGTGTTTTACAAAGAAATATACTTCTCTTTCTTTTTCTCCCGCTTTGAGATAAAACATATAGCACAGTGTAAGTTTAAGGTGTACAACATGATAATCTGATATATGTATATACTGTGAAATGATTGCCACGGGAAAGTCAGAAACAAACTTTTCCACCTACAGCTAATTATGTGTTCAAAGGCACCAAGGAGGAAGCCTGGAGACAAGTGAAGCGTCTCCTTAAATGAGACAACAGCACGTGAAAAGAAAACAAACATCAAGCACACTCCTCTGTGAGTGAAACGCATTCTCGAACATAATACGACTTCACTGAAGAGCAACGAGGTCTGCACGTCGATGCAGGACTAAATTCCCTTCCAACAACAAAAGGCCTATTGAGAGAGAGCACTGTGAAACCTGCTGTGTTACAAGGGGGCTTGGACTCCGTTGCAGCCTTACTTCCTAAAAACGACACGGTTAACCAAGTGTTGGAGAAGGCACTGGCACCCCACTCCAGTATTCCTGCCTGGAGAATCCCAGGGACGGGGGAGCCTGGTGGGCTGCCATCTGTGGGGTTGTACAGAGTCGGACACGACTGAAGCGACTTAGCAGCAGCAGCAACCAAGGGTTGTCTAGAAGCTGTAAGTTCTAGACCAACAAAACTGCACACAGAGGGAAATCCACACATGAACAAGGAAGACCGCAGAATTCACCAACTAGGGACACTGGCGTCCATTTGGGAAACTAAGCTAAGTGAGAAGCCCGAGCCGGAGGGCCGACCTCCTAGGAACCAAGACGCAGCCTGGCCTGTGCCGCCCACTGGTGTTGGTTCTCAGAACCATTTCACTGCCCTGACTCGTTCATACGATAAGGTCAAAAACCACTCCTGAGGCTTACGTGGCAAAGCACTTTCATATACGCTGTATCTCACTGATCTTTAAGACGTGGTTTGCCCACCGTGCCACATGTTAGGGGTATTTACACTTGCGAGGAAGTGGTTTTCATCGGCAGCGTTTCTTCTTTCTTAATTGCAGAGGATTAAGGGAATGTCATAATTGGTCACATCTGAGATTTCACAAACAATAAGCACTATTTTCACCTGATCATCAGGACACCAGCTCCATGTCATGAACAAGGACACCGACGTGCCCAAGAACACGAGGTGAGAGGGTGCCCAAGAACACGAGGTGAGAGGGTGGCCAGGCCAGACTCGGTCCAGGGCGCTGGACTCAAGCCCTCTCCTCCGCCCCGACTCCCTCAACATCACATCGTTCTGTCTCATTGTTTGTAACATTCAAAAACAGCCTAGCCCAAGTGCTTCAGACGGAAGCCTCGCACCATAATCAGGGCAGTTCACAATTTTGGGGCTCCCCTCCAAACTCCACAGAGTGAACAGTAAACAACTTTTCCCTCTCTTTTCATCCTTTTTATCATTACCACCTACATAACATTTGATCAAAACTGCCTGAGGGTCAGCTCAATGATCTGATTCATAAAACTATCTCCTCTGAGTCACCAGGTAGACATGAGAAGTCATACCCATGTTAAGAATAACTAGTCATGCTGAGTTTTGCCCGCCCATGGAAACGTATTTATTTCTGTTCTGACACTGCAGGGAGAGCGCTCAAACCCTCCCTGGGCTCTGCAACGACCTAGATGGGTGGGATGGGGTGGGAGGTGGGAGGAAGGCGCAAGACGCAAGACGGAGGGGACACACAGACCTGGGGCTGATTCATGCTGACGTGTGGCAGAAACCAACACAAGATTGTAAGGCAATTATCCTCCAATTAAAAGTAAATAAAGTTTTTTTTAAAAAGACACTGCAGGGGCCTCTGCTCTGCTGGACTCAGATTTCTTCAACGTACACAAGCCTACTTCATACTTCACCTCAGTGTCAGCCAGGCCCACCGAGAGGATTCTAAATGACTAACCTAAAAAAATTTTCTAGATAGCCTCGAGCAGAAATTTTTAGTTTTACCACTTCTAAAAACTACTTCGATGACTGCATTTTTCTTCTGACTGACCCAAAGTATTGTGATTTAAAAAGAGAGAAAAAACATGTAACTCCATGGCTGATTCATGTCAATGTATGACAAAACCCACTGCAATGTTGTGAAGTAGTTAGCCTCCAACTAATAAAAATAAATGAAAAAAAAAAGAAAAAAAAATAACAAAAAGAGAGAAAAAAAGCTCTGTATATCAACAAAGAAAACTTCCATACAAAAAAGAAGAACTTGCATAAAATGAAGAAAACAAACCAGCCTCCCGTGGGCTGCAAGGTGAGCTGGGTTTGCACAAACCGCAGAGAGGAAGCAAACTCTAGACGTGAGGAACTACAAGGAAAGCCCCGTGGCCCCCATGACAGGCTGCAACCCGGGCCCCTGCAAGGTTCCTGGTTGCAAGTTAAGCAGCTGTGAAGAAAGACAGCTTTCCTTTGACATTCTCATGCTGCAGCATTCAGAAACGTGTAAATCAAACCTATTACTGCCTAAGGGAAAACATCAACAATGACAGGAGTGTCTCCTCTGCACATCGAAGCTGCCTGGCTGATTACAAACTGGGAACAAGGATAATGAGAGGTTTGGGGTGCTTCGTACGCCTCCCCAAGACTCCAATGCAAAAACACACAGCATCTCAAAGGTACAGCCAGTATAAGTTTTTATTTTAGTTCCCAAACCATTTTAATAGATATCTATCCAGCAGTTGATTTAATAAGTTAGAAAACTTGAGAGACTCCAAGAGGCAGGTGCATATCATCTGTTTTACAGACAGGTAATCTGGGGAGCACGATTTCTCAGTAAAGACTCAGAGTAAATGAGGTGTGCCACGTAATCATTAATTCCACCGTTTTAAAGCCCTGCCTAGAACCCCGATCAGAACTTGAATATATGCATAATCAACTAAAGATTCACCTGTGAATCCATTTTCAAATTAAATTAAACATTTTCAAGGTTCACAGATAAAAAAGAAACGATGATCAGTGTCAAGACCCACAGGGGACGGTGACATGCTGACCTTCTCGTTTTGTCACTCCCTCCTTGGTTACCAGCTGATATGCTTTCACAAAGAAAACTGCTTCCTATTTACTATTCAGTTGCTCAGTGGTTCAAGTCAGAAAGGGTGAGACTGAAGCTTCAAATTCTCTAATCCCATGGTTCCTTCCTCTAGCCACCAGTCCTTATCCCAAAGCTACTTAGGGACCTGCCGACATTTGCTCCAACATTCGCACAAGCTGGAATCAAGATTGCCGGGAGAAATATCAATAAATTCAGATAACGCAGATGACAGCAGCTTTATGGCAGAAAGTGAAGAGGAACTAAGAGCCTCTTGATGAAAGTGAAAGAGGAGAGTGAAAAAGTTGGCTTAAATCTCAACATTCAGAAAACGAAGATCATGGCATCTGGTCCCATCACTTCATGGC